CACACACACACACACACACACACACACACACACACACACACACACACACACACATTTCTCAGCTGATACCACTCTTCCACATCCATACCAACACACCTACATCATATTAGTTGCATACATGTATTCCAATGGCTGGCAAGGCCCCATTATACAACAGGCAAAGAAACCAAGAAATGACAAGCATGTAATTCAATGGTAAAATGTCACATCTGGTTTTTACAGTAAAAAGGACACATTTAACTATTTTCCTCCAATATAAAACCCTGACATTACAAAATGCATGATTTTATACCGGTATGGCGGAGATATCAAAAGATGTGGTTATAATGGGAGTGGATGGGACATTTTTGTCCGTGAGTGGCTAATGTGTGACTTTTTTGTTTAATCTGATTCTGTGCAAAAACTAATTATCCACCAAAATCAATGTTGTTGCTAATCTTTGACATATCCAAGACTGTGATTAAAAAAAAAAGCCGACCCCACCAACATTCATTATATGGAAAATAACTGCCTTTTTGTGCATGTTTTTCATAGAAAATGCAAATTCATGTATTTTTGATCAGGACTGAAGTTGATTGAAAGATTTAAACCCAAAAAGTTAAAAAAAAATATTAATCTGTTGTCATTTTAGAGCAGTTTTTGGAAGTGGACCTTTTTGTCCCGAATGACTAATTTGTAACTTTTTTGTTCAATCTGATTTTGTGCAAAAACTAATAATGCAAAAAAAATCCATTTTGTTGCTAATCTTTGACATATCCAAGACTGTTATAAAAAAAAAAAGAGCCAGTCCCCAGATATGTATTTTTTGGAAAATAACTCATTTTCTCTGTTTTCATCATGAAAAAAAACAGCTGTTTCGTGTATTCAAAATGGCATTTAAAGGGTTAAAATCCTGAAGATGATTACAGTTTTGGTATTTTCTATTAGGGCGGAAGTTGCTTTAAAGATTGAACCCAAAAAAGTTGTGAAAAAAACCTTTTAATATAATGTTTTGATCAAAGTCTTTTGCAGTGGACATTTTTGTCTCGAATGACTAATTTGCTTAGTCCAATCGAATGATACCGGAGGGTTAAGTATTTCATGAGTTATCCACCATGTATTTTTGAGTATACCTTTTTTTTGGAGCAGACCGGACGCAATACCAAAATGTTGTGTGCATTTATTTTAGTCAGTTTTATTAGAGAAGGAAGGAAGTAAGAAAATGAAGAAGCAAAGGAAACGGCAACAAAAACAACTGTCTGTGTTTTCAGCCTCATTTGCTCAAAATGATTCATCACAAAACGACTCAAAGAAACACAGCAAAAGTTTCAGATGTGTTGTTTATCTGTCCGGTCTGTGTGTCAACAACAGGCTGCATTTGGACAGAATTGATTTGTACAGTGAACATTTTGACTAATCAATGACGAGTCACATTGTGTTATAATAAGTGGCATGAGATTATCTCCTGCCGTCATTACATCACTCAAATCGTTACCTTTAGTGAGGCCTGCATCCACATGTGAAACACTTTGATAATGAGAAAACAAATAGACAAATTGTGCTCTAAATAAACGACATACTTTGTGTTTTTCACTATTAATTCAGAACAAATTCATGCATCCAAACTTTGTTTTTGGAAGTGGGAAATCAATAACAGACGAGACAGTGTTACATCACTGTTGGGTTAGTCAGGCTTTTATTAGCAGCGTCACATGGACCTTCACTGCTCTCTAGATCCTTTAAGATACATTTCCAGTATGTGTAATCATTAAAATGGACTTTATCGTAACATTATTGCACCTTAGTTTAGCAATGGAAATAATAAAGAGTATCAGCCGTTGTCTCGACCCTATCTACTCTCATAATCCATTTTTGTTTCCTTTTAGCTGCATCTAATGGATGATCTTATCAATGTTGTAAATCATCTGGAAACAAATTGTTAATGATATAAATAGATATTGCTGAGAAAGGCAGTGGCTCAGATAATAACAGTGGGTTTAAAACAGAGGAATGTGAAACCTCCTTTGATGCATAAACTCCAGCTCAGTTTTCTCTGATGTTTCGGGCATAAAAAGTCCCCCGAGGCTTTTTCTGTGAAATCTGAACAGGGAATTATCCAAAGAAGATCAATATCAAAGGCCACATCATATGATTTAGACACAGACAACAAATACTTCAGAGTATCTACGCAGGCACATAGAGTTATAAAGTGGCATTTCCCTTCTCTTGTGTTCTATATTTTTTCTCCAGGAGAGATAGGGGTGCTTTCCAAGTATGCAGCTCATTGTGTGTTTGGCTAAAGCAGCCATATTTGTTTTCCTCCTGTGAAACTTGAGGTCTTCATGGACATCGAGAGTGTAGCATGGATCTGTAGACTCTCCTAGATGTTTGTTATCGTATATTATCTTTTCTCCCGGCCACCACAATTAATTGTGTACCTGTGATCTTTAGGAATGTGAAGAATGCTAACAGAAGTCTCTGAGATATCTTGGGTGTGTTTCATCTTCAGACACACATATCTCTCCATCATGGTCAATAGAGAGAACCTAGAGATTAGAGCCTGATTATGTGTTGTTAGCAAGTTCTCTCTATATATGTGAAGGAACATACTAAATACAGTGTTTTATCAAATGCAATGAACAACATGTCATTTTCTATCTTTGAAGCATCACTATATTTAAAAAAGTTTAATTCATAAGCAATGCAACTTAAGTTATTGCTCTATTCAGGACTCTTAATGGTGTTGCTGCTACAGCCTCTCTCAGTCTGTATTATAGCTAATACAGCAAACTAAATATTGCTATGCTAGGAAATATCTCTACTTTGAACCATTCTAAAATAAGTGTGACTTACAGAAGACTGAAAAAATGATAAATAATATCGCTTTAAAGATCATACCTACCTATCATTACCTAGACATGCAGTTAATTGATATTCTATACAGCTCTCATAATGATGTTTGTTAAGATAAAAACGTTTTCCTTTTATTTCACTGTCACTCATTCGTGGTTTTGTATGATAACACTTGATGCTTTAAAAGCCCAGGTGTTGATCGTGACATCAATCACAATAAAAGAGTGATGTAATTGAGTGTAAAATTAAAACACTGGTTAAGGATGTAAAATAAGTGAAACGTCTGTTTGATTTATTAGTCTTTTAGGCATTGCCTGGTGAATCAGGGCCAATGTACCAGAGAGGAGAGGGTGGGGTTCAGGCCGAATGTTTAGGGACATCTGGCTGTAAATCCGCAAGCTTCTGCTCGATGGATGACATCACTGCACATGCTGCTTTTCATCCTTTCACAAACCTTAATACCACAAAAACATGTAGCAACCCACTGATGAGCGCATTGTTATTGTGCTTTTGTCTCAGCATACACCCATTCTCTAATGGCCATCTACATCTGATATTAACGTGGATGTCAGACCAGTCAGTTTATTATTCCAAATACTTAGAAGGAAGTACTGACAAATACTGTCTACAGTTTCATATATTATCATTATACTGCTTAGTCATATGCTATATGATATAGGTTTACCCTGTCGCATTATTATATTTGGAGTAGTGCACGAGAATAAAAGCTACAAAGACAGAAATGACGGTTTTCAGACTTTCTTTTGATGGCACTTTTGTTCAATCTGCACTAATAAATATTTCCATATCAAAAATGGGTTGAATTACTATACGTACGACAGAAGAAATATGGCATTAATGTGTTCAAAGCCTCAAAGCTAAATGGCAAACAAAAAATGAAAACTGCTCTATTTTATTTATCAGGTTTTTTGAGTTTCATCTTTCGTGAATAAACAAAACCCTTTCAAACCTTCATCTACACACAATCGGCAGCTTCTCCCAGCAGCCTCTCTGCACTGACTCAGCAGTTCTGGGAAACCAGTGCCTGCTCCCAACTGGGACACAATTGAATATGCCAAAAGAGCCAGCAGTAATGCACTAGGACACCACAAGCCGCAGCTCCTTGCCCATCAGTATTGATCCAAACATTGCTTCCCATCAAGTGACCATCACAGTTGAAGTTTTTCTCATCTCCTGTTTCCATTAGCGTCAAGATAGCCATGATGTCTGCGAGACTCTCTGTGAATCTATGTTGGTTTATGAGAGACTGTTTTCCTGTTTTACTGCCACTATAGAGACTGGTTCTTCAAGTAAAACTCTAAAAAAAATTGGGCTTTAACATCATCAAAAAGACATCTCCAATCACCACATTCACTCTTCTGCTGAATCCTAAAAAATAATTGACATTGCAAGAGATTTTTCATGAAAAAGTTAATCAAAAAAATGAAAGAGACATGTCCAGACATGCGTTATACAGGGGGCTCTCTACCTGTCAGGTATGCTGGCAGCAGGCACAGACAGGGGCCCATCAGGGACTCAATCTGTCAAAGTGACCTCAGTTCTTCCTGTATCATCACCTGGATCTGCCTGTCACTCATGCCTGCATCGGCCATTATCGCAGTGGAACAGTCAGGATCTGTGTTAACTTGTCTATCCGCCCTTCAGGGGTGTTTAACAAACCTTTGAAAAAAGATTTTTTAATTCATAATACTGAAAACTAGGGTTTTGTACAGTGCACTGTACAGTTATTTTCATTATAGATTATTATTTTTCTATTAATAATTTGGTCGATAAAATGTCAGACAAATAGTAAAACTGATCCATCCCAGACCACGGTATTGTCCTGTTTTGTAAATTCGCAACCCATAGATAGACAGGTTATTAAGATATAAACATAAAAAAACGGAGAAATCTTTAAATACACGAAGAGTTTCAAACTGAATCTCTGACATTTTTGCCTAAAAAAATGAACTTGGACAATTTAATTTACTCTCTATCCATCCACAACTGAAATAGTTGACTAACTGTTGCCTCTTCACTGAAACCACCATCAAAAAAAGAATACACACAATGTATACCCCACAAATATGTGTGTTATTGCTGTACAAGCTGCTGGTATATTACATACCAGATGGTGAAAGTTAACTTTTTAGACGTGTGTGTTTCAGGTGATCTATCTACAGAAGGCCGAGCTGAACGGGGAGACGGTGTACCCGATGCACCCGAGCAGCGTCCATGGAGTGGAGGACATGTCCACACTGGCAGAGCTGCATGAAGCTGCCATCATGCACAACCTCTTACTGCGCTACAAGAGAGACAACATCTATGTAAGGCCCCTCTGTCGTTATCTGTGAGAACATATAGCATGGACCACCATGGTGTACCTGCACTATGTGGGTCCACTGTCTCAGTCAGGGTTGCAGTTACAATATAGCTGGGAGCTGGAATGTTCAGCACAAACTAAACTGAGATTCTATTTCGTCACTGACCGTTTAAGTACTGGATATGTCCATCGCGCGCATGCGCAGCTCGAGTACCAATAACAACAAAGTCACCTGTGACCCACGTGACACCGGCTATATCAGCCGGTGTCGTCAGAGGATCTGTTCCTTTCATCTTCTCGCTGCGCGAGGGTACCGTGGCTACATTTTTGTAGCCTACAGCGTTCAGGTTTGAACGTTTGATCTGAGGGATTGCTCTGCAAGCAGCTGGCCGCGTGCGTCCTCCAGGAGCTGTGGCCGGCTGTGCGCTGTGCAGAGCCTCGACAGACAGGTTGGTGTCAGCTTGTTGCTGGTGATGGCTGTGTCCCCGCACCCTCTCCCAGCCAAGTTGTCCTGATTGCTGTCTTATTTTTTGTTTGGCTTAGACTTTCTGGTGACGACAGTGTTCCCGCTTCCTCTCCCATAAAGTTGCCCTTATGCTCTTTTGAAAGTTCTGCTTGTGGCGATCACTGAGGTGGAACGTCTGGCAGCAGCCAACAGACACCTCTCCTTGTCACATCCTCCTCCAGATCAATTCGGCCGTTTCCGGCGACTTGAGGGAGCGATGGCTATGTGTGCTCCCCCCAATAGGACTAGAAACAGGCTGTCCTCTAAATTGGATCGGCTAGCTGCCGATAGGGGCATGATGAAGTCGCCTCTTGGCCCTTCAGCCTGGGCCCGGTGTAGGGGCTGCTAGCGCCTCCCCCCCCCCCTTTGGTTGACGCCCCTCCTTCGGTTGGCGCAACTCCTTCGGTTGGCGCACCTCCTTCGGCTGACGCACCTCTGTATGAGGACGCCTTGTCGCTGGTACAGACTCGTCGCCAGGTTTCACTGGCCCAGTCACCACTAACGGAGGCATGTAGGAGAGTCCTCCGTAGCGTACCAGTCGAGCCAGGGGAACTGTTTAGGTCAGCTGCCCTGGAGGCACTGGAGCATGCCGCCCAAGCTAGGCAGACCAGGCAGCAGCTCTCGGGTCTTCGCAGACCTGTGCCCACTCCCAGCAGGTCCAGGGGCCGCTCTAGCAGCCGCACTCAGCCGCCGGATTACAGGGGTGATCTGCAGAGGTCTTAGCGATGCGACCCAATGACTTTCGTGCCCCAGGTCGCCCGCCTTCCAGGCGGGCCTCGTGCCCCAGAGCCTTACCGGCGCCCCCCAAGAGGCTCCAGGGGCCCGGGGGGCTGGGCCCTGAAATCCCGGGGGCGGTCGTCGGCTGCTTTCCCAGCAGCAGCTCAGTTACTGGGCGGTCTGTACTTCCGTCCCTTGGGTGGTTTTCACCTTAACCCAGAGGTACGGACCGCAGCTCCGGCCCCTAGCCTTCGGCTGGGTCTAATTGACAGTCGTCAGCGATCCGGCAGGGGCCCTAGCTCTGGCCCAAGAGTTGGCCGTCCTTCTGTCCAAGGACGCAATCAAGCCAGTAAGACCCTCTGCTTAGCCCAGGGGGTTCTACTCGGCGTACTTTCTCGTGAGCAAGAAAGTCGGCGGATTTCGCCCGATCTTGGACCTCAGAGGAATCAACAGATTCCCGAAGGTGCTGCCATTCTATATGCTGACCACTGCATATGCACAGGTGGAGTGGTTCTCAACCGTGGACTTGAGGGATGCCTACTTCCACGTGGGCCGGGCAAGATGGTGCCTTATATTCAGTTCCTCCGGCCCTTGGGCAGACTGGCAGCTGCCTCGGCCGCTGGGCCCTTAGGCCCGCTGTCGTTGCGCCCCATGCAGATGTGGCTGAACAGCCTTCACTTGGATGCCAAGGGGCACAGGCACAGGGAAGTCAGGGCTGTGCAGCTTGCACTCACACACTTTCTACCCCAACTGGGGGGCAAGAATGTGCGTGTTCCTTGGGGACAGCATGTACGTTGTTGCTTAGACAACAGTCCCTTCTAGATAGTGGACGTTCTCACTCTACTCTGAATTTATGTGGCTGCGATTTCTGCCCGACATGTTCGGGTCGACGGCGCCATGGCGGGGTGCCACAGGTCGGTGTCCCTCTTTATGAGAGGGGCTTTACGGCAGCGTCCCCCTAGCACCCCGAGGGCTCCGGCTTGGGACCTGCCCCTGCTGCCGGATGCCCGATCATCTCCTCCCTTCGAGCCCCTGGCCCAGGTGGGGCTTAGGTGGCTGCCCACGAAGGCAGCATTTCTGCTTGCCATAGCCTCAGGGAAGCGAGTCGGGGAGTTGCATGTCCTCTCCATAAACAATACATGCCCGAGGTGGGACTCTCAGGCGTTGCCCTTTGGGCAAATGTGGCATTCCTGCCCGGGGTCCTTCCACAAACCCACTTCAATCAGCCTGCCCAGCTGGCACGCTTTGACATTCAGGAGTACGGCACGTCGAAGTTGCTGTGCCCTGGGGGTGCCCAAAGGGCGTATATCAAGGCTACTGCCTGTATACGGCAGTAGGAGCAACTCTTGATTTTGCCCTGGCGGCACTAAAGGAGGTTATGCCCTCTAACCAGTGGCTGCCCCACTGGGTTGTCGATACCATCTCACAGGCTTACGGGGCCAGTGGCCGCCCCCTGCCATCAGGCTGGGATGCCACTCTACAAGGAGCATCTCAACATCTTGGGCTGCCCTGAGGGTGGTGCCCCTGGAGACCGTGGGCGTCTTCTGGCACATTCTCCAGTTGTCATCAAGTCACTCCCCATTCTTTGGGCGTGGTCCTTTTGCCGAGCTCCGCTGTTTCCAGTGGTGAGCAAGGGCTTGGATTCTTCATGACATTGTTGGTATAAGTCATCCAGTGCTTAAAGCACCGGCCTCTGGCGGTCAGTAGGGACGAAATAGAACGATAGTTACGGCTGTAACTACGGTTCTATGAGTCCCGGATGACCGCCAGAGTTCCCTGTCACTCAGAATTCTTGTGTGCTCGCGAGAAGATTCTGGGAACAGATCCTCTGACGACACCGGCTGATATAGCCGGTGTCACGTGGGTCACAGGTGACTTTGTTGTTATTGGTACTCGAGCTGCGCATGCGCGCGATGGGCATATCCAGTGCTTAAAGCACCGCCTCTGGCGGTCATCCGGGACTCATAGAACCGTAGTTACAGCCGTAACTATCGTTTCAGAGTGCAACAAATCTCAATCCATCAAAAACATCTACCGGGAATGGGAGTTGTTATTAATGCAAGGCAACAATAGGATTTGTTGTGTTTGAAGTATGAAGCATTACATACACGTCCTGTCAGATTCTTTCTATTGCATTCCAAGTATAAGCTCTATAAAGATAACACTGTTGTTGTGCCATGTCAGAGGAAAATGAGAAGAAAAACACTAACACAAGCAAGGCCGAGTAAGGAATAAAATGCTAACAACACACACTACAGAATGCATCTACTGTAATGCACTGAAGAGTTTCAACGCTGGATTTCATTTAAGAATGCAAGACTTTGAATGTGTTTGTTTGACCCTGTCTCAATCCCAGGATTATTTTCACCGCCCTCTTGAAACACAACCCAGGCTTTATTAAAATAATCTTTCCCCTCAGTCTCTGTAACTATGTTTTCCTCATAATCTTATCTTGGAGGGTTGCAGCGGTCTGTCTGTATGGGATCACAGAACAATGTCATTGAGGAAAGATGACCCACAAACACACTTCAGTGAGTCACCTTTCCCCAAAGCGCATAACCACGGAGGAATAGAGCTTAAAATACTACATGCTACAGTTACTGTGTCACAGAAAACTGGGTGAATCTACTAAACTGGGTGAACTGGTAGTGTTAAGTAACTGTAGATCTAATGCAGTCATTCGAATTTGTACAATATGTAAAAGTCGCAACTTAGTAAAACATACAATGCATTTCTTCTTTTATATATCATGTCCTATTTCACTGATCATGTTTTCTTCTTCTTGTTTTTCTCCTCCTCTCTCATCTCCTCTTTCCTCCTTGTACTTCTGTCTACTTTTTTGTGTCCCTCAGACCAACATAGGTTCAATCCTGGCAGCAGTAAATCCCTATAAGCAGATTTCGGGCCTGTATGACAGCACTGCAGTCGATCAGTACAGCAAACACCAGATGGGGGAGCTGCCGCCTCACATCTTCGCTGTGGCCAATGAGTGTTACCGCTGCCTGTGGAAGAGACACGACAGCCAGTGTGTTCTCATCAGGTGAGGATCCACATTAAAAAAGACTCCCTATACAGAATGATTGGAAGCAGCTCTCTGCCTCTCAAATCTCCTTATTTACAATCTCCTAGTTGACAATAAAAAGTGAGTGTAAGAGGTTTGATAGGTCTATTTACAGTATCTGCTTCTCTCTTTCTCTTTGCATCATCAGTGGGGAGAGTGGTGCCGGGAAGACGGAGAGCACCAAGCTGCTGCTGAAGTTTCTCTCAGTGATGAGTCAAAACTCAGCAGGCACTCCTCTGTCGGAGAGGACCACCAGGGTGGAGCAGGCTCTCGTCCAGAGCAGGTACTGTTTCAACAGTTTCAATTTTGTAAACATTGCAAGATTGGCACTTGGTGGAGGTCTCCAAGGGCTCTTCTAGTTTACATGTGTACATTTTTGTTTATATAATTATTTCATTCTTAAGCTTTATACAATCTAGTCTTTCCTGCATTAGGAGGTCTTCAAGGCAAACTACCCCTGGATGTCGTCCATGTTGAAATGCATTTCTTGGCAATGATTATACATTATACTTAAGTATGGATATACTAAATTCCATTCAAATATCAGAAGTATTTGAGATGCTTAAGCAGTATAGAGGTCAACATATGTGACAAACTAGGCAATACTGTGAGAATGCATGCTTTCCCTCAGACAGAACAACACCGGCATCTGTTTCAACATCTTAACCAACACATAAGGTGATGGACATTAATGGGGTGTGTCAAAAGTATTTTTATTTGCTTGAATGTTTTCCCCTCTCTGCAGTCCCATCATGGAAGCCTTTGGAAATGCTAAGACCGTGTACAACAATAACTCCAGTCGGTTCGGGAAGTTCATCCAGCTTCACTTTTCCCAAAACGGAAACATTCAGGGAGGCTGCATCATTGACTGTATCCTTCAACGGTTTCACTTAGATATACTTTAGGGAACTCATGTGTCTATACTAGTGTCTGTTTCAGAGGTTATGTTGACTGTCAGTGTTCATTGTTCTCCTTGACTTTCAATGATCAGATTTGCTGGAAAAGGTACATTTGTGTTGAAAAATTCAGTTGCAGCGACTGGGATCAGCAAGTGGATTTTTTTTTTATTCAATCCATCAGTCATCAGCAAAATCTCTCATGAAATATTTTTTTAACTAACTCTTTCAAATCTTTTCTCTCTAAGAACCGTGTGGTTCGACAGAATCCTGGAGAGAGAAACTACCACATCTTCTACGCTCTGTTAGCAGGGGCGGACACAGACCACAGAGGTACGTTTTCAAAGATTCTCGACCAAAATAGTTGCCAAAATCATAGGTTTTCCTGGAAACTAACACTTGAACATACACTCTGCTTCTTATTTGTAATGGTGAGTAACTCATGTCTAAAGGTCATTCATTATAATAAATCTACTTCTGTCAGATCTACAGGAACTGCCAACATCGTTTTATCATGATCAACACTCAGGTATAAATCTGAAGTTTTGTGGATCATTAATCAGATTCATAGAAAAGGAAAAACAAATCCACAATTTGACCAAATGAGCCAATGGTAAAACTACTTTTTGTTGATTGAATTTATTTATTTTTTTAACAAGAAAGATCTAAGGCTGTAAACAAAATATAGCTTAAGATCACTTTGCACTGAATATAAATGTGTTTGTTGAAGTAGATTATCTCTAGCTGTAAAATCTATCGCTGAATAGATAATGACAAAAATTAGTTTTTTATATTGTGAGGTTAAAGATTGTATTCAACTTTGAGTTTCCTCTTGTCTCTGTGTTGCAGACATGTACCTCCTGTCCGAGGGTCCTGAGTCATACCACTACCTGAGTCAGTCAGGCTGCATGAAGGACAGCAGTCTGGATGACAAGCAGCTCTTCGACAGTGTGATGGTAAGGAGAACATGAGAGGAACATGCATTTCATGTAAGTGATTTGTTTTACCCCCAGAGGGCGCTATACACCTTTCTCTTGAGTGTAACACCACCAAACCAGACAGATTTCAAGAGAGCCTGGGAGAAACATGCTAATTCATTGTGTCATGGTGGCTGTATTGGCAAAAGTGTTTTCTAATGAATACAAAAACTGCTCTCACATTCTTAATGACTCTAGTGTGTTTCTACGGAAATGTTGCCTAACTTTGTCTGTGTTGTGTCGCAGGAAGCCCTGAAAGTGATGGAGTTCACGGAGGAGGAGATCAGAGACGTGTTTAAGTTGCTGTCTGCAGTCCTCCAGATGGGCAACATCGAATTCATGACGGCTGGTGGAGCTCAGATCACCTCCAAAGGGGGTAAGAGAAGGAATTAAGAGTACACTACAGATCTACTATGCAGTGTGTGTTACATTTATCCTTACACAATTGGTTTTGCCCAACCTCTCTCTGTACCACTTGAAGGAGGAACTTCTGGGAATGCTTTATTGCTGTCATTTCTTAATACTTTCCTTGGAAGTTGTCTTGACATATTTCGACAAGCAAAGCATTCAATTCAGCACATATTTCCTGTAGTAAATTACTTGGATTCACATAGAGCAGCTCTTTCTATCAAATTCGTATTTGCTGTGAGGAGTAGGATGAATGGCAGTTATTTGTAGGACACTTCCAAGGAGATTAAAGTTCTTCTAAAATAAGCCATTCCCCAAAAAACATAATTTGTTTTAATCATGAGAGCTCATTGTGCTTACCAAACAAGTTCTTGCTTGGCACCAAGACAAAGAAACCTTTTTAATAATAATAATAATAATAAATGATATTTATATAGCGCCTTTCAAGGGACCCAAGGTCGCTGTCGCTTTTTGATCTCATGAGCTACTCGTAAATGTGAGGAAAATGTGGATTAGAAAATGTTGCAAACAACAGCCTTAAGTGCTGGATACAAAATGTAGAAACATATTTCATCTTTAATTTTCTTACAGTTAAGCAATGTCTTTTTTTCAGAAATCTATTGCAACATTTCTTTTTTTCTGAAGCAGTTAAATTGCTCTGCTGATGTTGTACCCCTCCGCTGTACTCCTCATGCCCCTGAGTTTGATTGACAGTGCATTCGCAGACAGAGCTCTGAACAGGCTGTAACATGAGCTCAATGCTCCTTTGTTCACTGTGTCTGACCTCTTTTCCATAAAACCATGGAACCACAGTGACTGCAGAGTAGAGTTTCCTATAGACTGTGTAGGATCACAGCATATGTCACGTATACGTACACTACACCTAATACACATGTTTGTATGTGTGTTTCAGTTGTCAGTAATGTCAGCGAGCTGCTCGGCCTAGACTGCTTCCAGCTGTCCGAAGTGTTGACCCAACGATCCATGATCCTCAGAGGGGAGGAGATCTGCTCCCCTCTCACCGTGGAGCAGGTAACGACACACACGAGTCAAATACTCATTACAGCTAACGCACTCCATTATATCCCAGGGATTGTTCAGAAGGCGACACTGAAACATACAGTAGAAGCCTGTCTGTTGCCCTCTAGTCCTCTCCCCCTCTCCTTTTTGTGTCCTGGTGACACACACACACACACTCACACACTCACACACCCTTCTCCCCCACATGCCCCTCCAGATCCCTTGCGTGACTCCCAGCCATTTCCTGCTTTTTGTCTGCCAGATTCCTTGCACAATAACGCCATCGTGATAGTGATCTGAGTCAAAGGCACAATAGAGCCAATGACTGAGGGTGAAGTGATCCTTCTCCTAATTCAGAACGCTGCTGCTCGAGTCCTCACTAACACTAAGAAAGTGGATCACATCACTCCTGTTCTGAAGTCTTTACACTGGCTTCCTGTGTGTCACAGAATAGATTTCAAAATACTGCTGCTGGTTTATAAAGCACTGAATGGTTTAGGCCCAAAATACATTTCTGACCTCCTGCTAAATTATGAACCATCCAGATCTCTCAGGTCTTCAGGGACTGGTCAGCTTTCTGTCCCCAGAGTCAGAACTAAACATGGAGAAGCAGCGTTCAGTTATTATGCTCCAAATATCTGGAACAAACTCCCAGAAACCTGCAGGTCCGCTGCAACTCTGACTACTTTTAAATCCAGGCTGAAGACTTTTCTTTTTGTCGCTGCTTTTAATTGAACTATTCATATCTTAGACTGCACTGTAACTTTTATCCATGTACTTTTTTCTTTTAATGTTTAATTGACAGCACTGTAACTTGTATCCATGTATTTTTTCTTTTAATGTTTATTTATTAGCTTTTCTTTTTAATGACTGCCATTTTCTTAATCTCTTTCATTTTTTGTAAAGCACTTTGAATTGCCTTGTGTTGAAAAGTGCTATATAAATAAACTTGCCTTGCCTTGCCTTGCCTTGGAGGCAGCGCAGCCAGGCACCAAGACTCTGGCGTTATAATTCTCTGGAGGCTTCGAATGTCCACGCTGCTGCCTGTGAATATTTTACGAGTCTGCATCTGCATGTGTTATCCTTTTCACCATATGCCACAAGAACATTCTGACGCATGACATAATCCTTTTTGGCTGAGCTCAAGCCTTGGGCCCACTCATACGCATAAATATCAGCAAATATGCAGAATGGACCTTTACTATTATCTCTAAAGTCACAAGAAGGCTTTTCTTTGCCGGACAAAGACTCTGTGCTGTCGCCCTGCTGCAGCTTGTTCGGCCTGGCCTTTGAAGCAGCTCGTCTCTTAATAGACTTCATTATTCCCGTCCTGGAGCCGGTAAGAATGGCTTCTTTTCACAGCGGCCAGGGGTCACCCACCCCACGACTGCCTGCACTAGCCCCTCACCCCCCATCCTGGACAAACAGCCATTCTTCTCAAACCGGTGGCGGAGATCCTGGAGCCACCAGCACTCTGTTCACACCCGTTAGTTGTGAGAGGTGACGGGGCATAATGATGGATTGCTCAAAAGCCCAAGAGCATTGTTGTCCCAAATACAGTACACACCGCCACACTCTTGTTTTGTTTTCGATTCAAGCACAATGCCTGTAGAGGAAGTGAAGCTGGCAAGCGCAAGCTCTTTATATTTGCACACGGATGGTGTCTGGCTGTAAGGCCGGAGAAAATCAGAGCTGAGTGAAAGATTTTCTCATTTAGTTTGACTTTTTTTAGAGTGCTTAATATGAGCAGTTTGACACCAATTACAACATCCAGTCTACAATTATGATAGTTTTAAAGAATTATAACTCCACAAATCCACTTTAGGGCTGCATCTAATTTTTATTTTCATTATTGACATGTCCGAAGATTCTTTTCTAGATTAGTCAATTAATTGTTTGGTCTAAAAAATATCAGGAAGTATTGTGTCCAAGGTTATGTATTTGACATTTTAATGCCTTTTATCATCAGTCAAAAACCCAGGGATATTAAGTTTAATGCAGCTGTCCGATTACTCTCTTTTTCCGGTCATTCATTTTCTGAATGTGAGAAGAAAGGCAAAACAGTGAAGGTGTCATCTCATGGTTAGGCTTTAATAAAAAGATAATAAAACTTAAGGCAGTCATTAACCAAAACGTGTTTATACATTTGTCTTCGTTTTAACTGGGTTTTGAAATGCAACAACAAATTCCGCCTGCAGTGCGTCACTTTCAGGAGATGTAGGTGATAAACGGGGCCGTGTATTGTGACAACAGACACTGTGTTACCTGCCGCCTGCACACAGATGCTGACATAACACTTTTTTTTCACCACAATAACACACCGTTTCATTATGCTTTAACCACCATCTGATCAAATAGATGAGATGTATATGGAGATTTACTGTATGTTGTGTTTTCTTTATTTGTTTCTACCTTGGTATCCATGGTAACCTTCGTCTCTTTTTGTCATGATTTGCAGGCGGTGGACTCGCGAGACTCGGTTGCCATGGCGCTTTATTCTCAGTGTTTCTCCTGGATCATAATGAGGATCAACCAGAAGATCAAAGGCAAAAACAATTTCAAGTCCATCGGCATCCTGGACATCTTCGGCTTTGAGAACTTTGAGGTGAAGTTCACAGGTCGATTTAAGCTTTACTCAGTTGGCTTTTCACTATGAGTATTTTAGTTTTCCATAAACACAATAAGTCCTGTCAGTGAATGTATCAAATGTGTCATATTTAATACTCAGTTAGTTATAACTCACTGAGTATTAAATATGACACATTTGATACATTTCTTCAGATTTTTGTTGAAAAGGTGTTTTTCACCCCACTTTCAACAAGTCAAATATTTTGATAACATTTGAAGCTGCACAGGCAACGAATGCTTTGACAGTGGGCCACCTTTTTAAACGTTCATAGCCAGATTGAGCAATGTTTTGAATCAGAATCTGAACACAGTTATTTGGCTGTTTAGTCACTGTCAATCAAACCACACTGCAGAGTCCAGATACCTTTTTTGGGCCCGAGACATCAAAAACATATTAACTAATACATAAACAGTGATTAGTTGTTATTTTTTACTGTAAGTACAGGCCCAATACGAACAAACACTGAGACTAGACTTGTCAGTTAAATAGGAAATATCTTATCTAGATGTTAAACTTGAGAGGGAAGTAACATTTGAATGTTTAATTATTCTGAATTTTAAGGGAGGAAGACAAAAGAGAGTTGATTTTAAGAATGTTTTGACAAGGTTATTGAACTTTTAATGTTGTGAACAACTCATTATCAATCAAAGATCAGGTATTATATTTGTCTTGTCTGACACGTCTGAAGGTGATCTTTAAGCTACAGAACTGATGTATGATCTTCCATCCTGTAGGTGAACCGGTTTGAACAGTTTAACATCAACTATGCCAACGAGAAACTCCAGGAGTATTTCAACAAGCACATCTTCTCTCTGGAGCAGCTGGAGTACAACAGGTAAAGATGTTTATCATATCTAAACAAATAAATCAACTTCTTCAAATGAGGCTTGTATGCTGGTTTTGGTATGCTGACTTTTCATGTGCTGGAGACTGTCCCACAGACAGATAGAGCCGGGGATGGGGGTGGGGGGGCTGGACCTCCTCGGGGCGATGCAGGCAAACTGCCAGAGGTTTGGGCTTGGCTCAGTTTCTCCCCCAGACAGTTGTGTTCTTGTATAATGGGCCGGCAGCTTGGACATGGCTCATTTCATCACATGCTCATGCTGGACAATACAGCCATTGTGTCGTCCTAGTTGTTAATATTTATATATATATACATGGTGTGTGTGTCTTTGTCCTTGCAGAGAGGGGATCCAGTGGGAGGCCATAGACTGGATGGATAACGCAGAGTGTCTGGATCTCATAGAAAAGGTATCCCTGAGACAGCAAAGTCACCACTGTGATCGACCGCTAACCACCAGCCGGAGCGGGCTGACGCCTCACTGTGCTTACACTGCCCTCCCTCTCACACTCTATCATTATATAGTCTCATTTTGCACAGTAATGTACACCAGTCAGCAGCTCGAGGTAGCATTAAAGGGAGCCATTAAGACAATTAGTTTTATTTTATCTCCATAGTTAGAAAGGATTTTGTGTCAAAATCATACATTTAGGGGAGGTGAAAGACTACACTAAAATGTTATCCCTACTTATACTCTCACTTTGGCTGGATTGGCCTTTATAAGAGGATTCCAGCTGTATCATTACAACTGTGTAGAAATGTGTTACGTGCGAAACACCATGCCTGCTCAGTGAACCCTCTTTTGTAAATAAAAGAGAAAATGTAATGAATTATTACGCTGTTTCCTGTACGCATTGTTACAACAAAAGCTGCCAGATGTGCCCCAATGGGATTATAACTAGTTCCATCATGACTTCACTGAGTTTCACCCTCCTCTTGTCTGTCTCCCCTTTAGAAACTGGGCATGTTGGCTCTTATCAATGAGGAGAGTCGCTTCCCCAAAGGCACGGACTACACCCTCCTGGAGAAGCTGCACAGCCGGCACGCAGTGAGTCCTCATGTACACATGGAAACTTACATGCATCTTTCTCATGTCCCAGGGAAACAATACAATGATCCAGCCCCCCTCAACCAAAGAGTTAAACCTCTCTGCTGCGTTGAACGTCCGACCCCGCCCCAGGCGCTCTCACACGGAAGAACAACCACACTGAAATGTGATCAGCCATTCTCATGTAATGATTAGCATCGTGTTCAGGAGAAAAGAGTGTCCTCACAATACCCAGCAGGGTTTTCTATGGCTGACCCACAAAGTGAGACAAACACAGGCTGACCTCTCCCCTGAAACACATGTTGAGTTTTAAGGTCGTGGCCGAAGGAGCTGAAGAGGAATAGCTGTTGAACTTCACGTAGAGGTTATGTTTAGTGCCGACATCTTTCGTAGACTGCTTGTTTTGTTGATTAAAAGAACATTCATTACAAGAACAGTTTTTTTTTTGACTGTTTTATATACATTTAAACTGTTTAATTAATGTACTTTAAATATATATATACGTTAAAGTGATAGACACAAACAAAATACTACTAATGTAAAAACAAAGCAACCTTACCACACAGAAGTTAAAAGGAATAAAGTGCAACCCTAACTTCTCTTATCTCAAGGTAGAACAGTAAAGGTGCCAAGCAGACAGTTGGGATTATTAAAACATGTTTACTTTTATGGCACAAATCAGAGATTCAGAAACATGATGAGATTGTTGTCATTGTGTTGTTTAATTATTGGGTATGGGAGTTTTGGTCATACAAAAATAGTAAAGTACTGGGTTTCTGAAAAATGTTCTGTTGACATGGTCTACTCTAGACTAAGATGTTAAGATTATAGAAACTAAAATAGCCTACAGGTTATTTGATAATGACAATATTAATCAGTTGCAGACTTTAATGTGTTGTTGACCTTTCAGCTGCAGCTGGCCCCTGAGCTCTCTGGTTATACTATCTCCTTAATCTGATTAATAGTCAAACTGATTATCACTAATTAAATAGACTTGGAACAGCATTTTGAAAAGTCAGTGCTGTTTTTGTGCTTTCCCTCAGACAAACCCGTACTATGTTAAACCCCGAGTGACCGACCACCAGTTTGGCATCAAGCACTACGCTGGAGAGGTAATTATACCAACACACACACACGCACATACACAAATACACAAATACACACACACACACACACACACACACACACAGAGCAAACCCAGCTTTCTGAATGAGCATCTTTGGGAAGTACCGTAGATGTTGAGCAGCAGTGTCGTGTTTGCCAAAACCAGCTACAGGATGTTGATGTTCCCCCCCTACTCTGTCTTTTTCTCTGAGTCAGGAGAAACTGCTTCACCGTCATCCTCTCATTCCTTTGGCTACATGATGAACAGGGATTACTACTAACGGAAGTGTAGAGAAAGGCCAAAGAGATCAGGGCAGAGAGAGAGGGATTGCAGAGGGCAGGAGGGGGGGAGTAGAAAGATAAAGAAAGGCCTTATGAAGGCTGCCTCAGACAAGGTCTACTCAGTGAGTGTGAGCTCAGTCACAAGCTGACCAGTCTCTCTCTCTCATCTCTCTCCTCTCTCTCTCTCTCTCTCTCTCTCTCTCTCTCTCTCTCTCTCTCTCTCTCTCTCTCTCTCTCTCTCTCTCTCTCTCTCTCTCTCTCTCTCTCTCCTGGGACCTTAGTTGCCTTTCTGCTATCTGAAACGGTGCCGTGTGCTCACTGGAAAATAGTAGCATCCTCCCTTAGATTTGATTATCCCTGTGGTGCCACTGAAATGCAGTCGATTTTTCAATTAAGTTTTGTTCTCGGACATGATCTTTAGCAACAGGAACAACAAAAATACCTCGACATAACTTGAAAATGCAGTGGTTGAGTATAAACGTTGATGTGTTTCAAAGACAAAAATGTTGAGGGCAGAACTTTGTAAATACAGCGTTGCAGATGTGGAATCAGATGTTGTATGATTGGTGCACCTTTATGATTTTGCATTCAAGCTTCCTTGTTTCTCCCTACTATCATGGGACCATCCCAGTTAACTAAACCTAAAACTGACAGACACAGAGATCCTATTGTACGAGTCTATTCCAATAATAAGAGGAATGGATTGTAATTAGTGTGTCGGGATTTATAAAAACATGTGTTGTCAAGTTTGGATCTCATGGCTCCAATGAGGGATGGGATTAGATTATAGTATACACACGATACACATTAACACAAACACAAACACGTGCCTGATTAGATTACACATTTTTTGTATTTTAATATTAACATGCATTTCTTTTCATTCAAATGAGCATACACAAAACTTAATACGAATCGCCTGCACATCTGAGAGCTTTATTTGCTGCAGTACACATCCATCAAAACACAGTTCACTAATATATTTTATTAAATCTTATTTGGAACAATATTGTTATATCTGATTAACTTAGATTACATATTTGGGTAAAGCTGCAAATGACTGTACCAAATTGCAATAGCATAACTTCTGCTGACAGAGGATATATTATTAGTTTTTCTGTACCTCTAAATTTTATTTTATTTTATTTAGCCTTTATTTATACAGGTGTAGATCTCATTGAGACACAAGGTCTCATTTTCAAGAGAGACCTGTCAGTGGTAACACTACCACACAAAGTTACAGACAGACAGGACACTAAACACAGAGGCAACACTAAAATACAACATCGTAAAAAAGTAGTCATTAAAATCCATAAATAAAATAGATCTTTGCCTTTTAGTTCTTGCACTGCTGTTACATACTTAAAAGCCTTTTTACCTCATCTTTATATAAACAGTGCTATCACTCACTTTTTATGTTCTGTCCTCTGTATTAGGTGCTTTATGATGTGCGTGGGATCCTTCAGAAGAACAGAGACACCTTCAGAGATGACATCTTGTTTATTCTTAAAGACAGCAGGTGAGCATATTGCTCTCTCTCCTGCATGCTGATCACACAGCTGTATAATTCAGCTTCAATGGACGGTTCTACAGTCACGTTACCTGTTCTGCATCATGTGTCTGCAGGCTTGACTTCATCTACGACCTTTTCGAGCGTGTCGGCAGCAGAAATGGAGATGAGACCATGAAGATGGGCACGGCCCGACGCAAGCCCACCGTCAGCTCTCAGTTCAGGGTGAGGCCCAAGCTTTTATGATCTATCTCCTAGCAAACGATTGTATCATTGTGTCTTCACACAGACAACAGGGCTAATAAGGGTCTTTATAAGGAACTTTCAGGCTGTTATCTTAGCATGATGAGTGTGAACGAACAGACGCAAAGAGGGATATAAATCATGTAGAGACAGAGGGGGGAGGACCATGCTGCCAGTGTGTTTGATCTGCAGAGAATGATGGCTGATGGGATGTATGAATTGTGGTTGTTGCGGTGGGTGGGGGGGGGGGGGGGTACAGAGGAGGGCTTATCTTAGCATGTACTGACAGCAGTGTGGAGAGAAGGAGCAGGGGAGGATTTGGCAGGCTGCCCCGGCCTACAGTTTCTAAAGCCAGGGGATTATGGTTGATGGCTGGGCAGTGAGGGGGCCAACCAGGAGCCAATCACACTCAGCTCTGCCAGGCTGGGGTCTCGCTGGAGACAGACTGTCTGAGGCAGCGAGGAGAGCGAGGCTGACAGGGGTTCAAGGGTCCTTGGAGTGTGTGTTGGTGCGTGGGGGTGTGTGTGTGTGTAATAGTAAACATGGGTTAATACTCCATTAGAGACGGAAAGTATCAAATGTCATTCAATCCATAAACTTTGATAAATTTTTTCAAGAATAGTTCTACACACTTTTCCTTTATGTTAACAATTATGTTCATTTCAGGGTTTACGTGTATTTACTGTACTATCATTTTATGGTGAAATGGTTTATTTCAATTTGTATTACTACCTTTTAGATTCACATTGATAAAAAATGAAAACATTGTTTAACCAAGTTATGTGTGTCTGTTATTGAATTCTTAAAGAATTGTTTTGTTAAACAAGTGAAAACATATGCCATTGCAACTAAATGTTAACTAGTTTTATTGTTCTTCATGATAAGAGGATTTTTTTTATTCTAATGCTTCGATCCCTCATTCTGTTGTAAAAAATGTAAAAAAAGAAAGTGAGGCTTGACTGGATTGGAAATACCTGACTGGTATTATTTATTAATGTCCACAAGGCCAAAGCTCATGCATAAATATATATATATATATATATATATATATATATATATATATATATATAAAGGATACATATTTGGATAGATTAACAGGCATATTGCTGTTTTGATATTAATCCTCCTGTTGTTGATGTGTTTCAGGACTCTCTGCATTCCCTGATGGCCACACTAAGTGCTTCCAACCCCTTTTTTGTACGCTGCATCAAACCAAACATGGACAAGGTAGGTCATGCAAATTTCAATGCACCAAAGAAAAAGAGCCAGAAACGCTGCCAGGTTTTTTTCAAGGTCAACGCCTGCAAAGTTAAACCTTCTTGGTGCTATTCATAGCTCCCATCGCTCAGAGCTAATCTTTAGTCATGTAATTGTTTCACTTGAGAAATAGTTTTGCTGCAGATTCTCTCCTGCCTTGGTGCAAATACTCTTATTGCACTTCTTTAAAGGTCTCCTATCGTGCAAAATGCACTTTTTGATGTCTTTTATACATAAATATGTGTCCCTGGTGTGTAAGGAAACTCACAAAGTCTCAGAAAACAAAATCCTCTCTCTTTTCCTCGTACCCAAATCTTTAACAACGGGGGTACAACGGAGCTGATCCAGATTTGCAGCCGATACGACGTAATATCGGAAATGTGGGCTGGCTTTACACCCACGGCCCTATCAGAAACTTTGCTATCAGAAACAATCCGCGACGTGTTTTGGAAGTAATATGGTCTTTGTTTACATTAGCAAGCATCGCTAACACTCAGAGCTAACCTGTACTGGAGAGAGTATGTGTAAAGAAGCAGGATATAAGGAACTCACCTTGTGGTAAACCTGAGGGAGAAAAAGCATTTGAGCTTTGCATTTGAGAAATAATCCTTGATGTGGTTTTGAACACAATATGGCGTTTAATCACGGCAGCATTTAGACGAGTATCTTCCGGTAGAATTCTCCTGCACGAGCAGGTATAAGCTCCCCCAACTTTTTTCATTTTTTTCTCAATTTTTTGTTTGTTTTTCAAAACACTTCATTGACATGTTTTTTATATATCTGAGACCTATAATATATGCCTAAAAATAGTATAATAGAAGACCTTTAAATAAAAGGGCTCTGTATCAGCACATTCCTGCCACTTTATCCCTTTGCCCAGAGGTCAGAGGTCACTGCTGGCCACTCCAGCTGCACAGCTTGGCTGATGCTCGGCTGATCTGGCTGCGTCAGAGGAATGCCAAGATAAGACCACTGTGCTGTTTCTGTGGTGCAGCCAGGGGGACGTTTATTATAGGCCTCTACCCCTCCACTACTCTCAACTGCAAACCCTTTCACAATCTGCACTGTTATCCAATGTCTGATATTAGATCGTTAGCATTTGTTATTTTATGTATCTTGATGAAAGTGAATTGGCTGCTCAGTAATCCAGCTGCATTAGCTCATGTTATTGTTAGGTATTAATTTACACACAGCAGGGATTGTCCTCTCCTTACCTCCAACCCCCTGTGCGTCATTTCACACCCTCTTGCTCACTTATTAGCATGGAAACTGTCTCCCTCTCTCCCCTGTCCCCTGCTCCAACTGCCTCGAATTCGCTCACCTGGCCTCGGTCGCTCAAGATGGAACAAGCCGTGCCTCCATTAATCCTTCAGAATGACAGGACCACATGCATGCAAACACTCACACGCATACAATGTGTTTGTGTGATTAACATGCACCCACTCCACTTGGAAAACATTTCTCTGTGGGAAGTGTCAGCTTGTTTTCCCTCAAACAAGTCAACATGCCATACCCCTTTCAGCCGGCTAAATCCTCTGCTAAAGAGTAGAGTTCAGATCTCAGAGGGGTGCACAGTTATGTGTGTGTGTGTTTCATTATGAACACATGCAAGCGTGCCTTTGTAACCCAGTGTGTCTGTTTCTATGCATAGTAGCATTAGCCTGCAATTAGATTGACACATTTGGGGAATGCTGTCGTCCTGTGTGGGGCTTATCCAGCGTGTGTGTGTGCCCTCTGGGTGACAATGGCCTTTGTGCTGCGTGCAAACAGGCAGGCTGCGTAGAGGTGTAGGGCGGCCGACATCATAGATCCTTTATCATCAGTAACACAGAATTGTGAACAATGCAGCAGATTATTCCAGAAAGAAAGGCCTACCCAGTTGGCCTTGCTCAACACTGTTCAGGTTTCTCTCTGGTGGCGTGTGTTTTCCCTGTAGTAACCTGATTGTTAATGTAAAATGATAGCACTCCCCATTGTAATTTACTTTTATGTTCAAGTTTAATGTGACTCAGCAGTAAGAGGATTGAATAGCTTTATGGGCTCAACACTGGAGGATTATATTCAGCTGTCTCATATCTTCCACTCAAAGATAATCACCTAAACTTCTATTGTGCTGAATCAGGCCTGTATGCACGCAGCTCTCCAATGCAAAGCTGATAATAACTTAACCTAGTTATAAAAAGACTGTCAATAATGTCATTATCATTTCAGAAGAATAAATAGGCATTCAAGTGTTTATATATTTTTGATGTTGTTTTGTTGTTTTCATCTACAGAAGGCCAACCGGTTTGATCCTGATGTGGTCCTGAACCAGCTGAGATACTCTGGGATGCTGGAAACTGTGAAGATCCGCAGGGCTGGATTCCCTGTCCGGAGAACTTTTAAGGATTTCGATAGCAGGTCAGAAAAATATATATAAAAAATACTGGTAACACTTTATATTAAGGTACACAAATTAACCATCAACTAGTTGTTAATTAACATGCATATTAGCATTATATTGGCTCTTTAATAGTCATTATAAAACACTTATTAATGCCTTATTCTGCATTACCATATTCTACAAGTAATACGCCATTAGTTGAGAGTTTTTCCTCAATAACCCTCTAATTAGTGCTTATGTATTGCAAGTAAGGAAGTTGTTGTGAGTTTTGGTCTTAATATACTCTGCTCAATATGGGCCTAATAAGGCAGTAGTACCACAAGAATAGTAATTCTACCATAATAACACTTAACAAATATGATCTATTCTTATGTAACAAGCATGGTAACAAGACATGAAACTATAAGTGTTAATTGTGTATAAATAATTCTAAATTAGGTATTTATATCTAAGAATATGTTTTGGGGTATTGACAGTTCATCTACCAATAGAAAGGTGATATTGACCAGTATGTTTCATATTTGCACATTTATATCTTTGTAAAATTTGTACTGAAGGTTAGACAGGAAACCGGGTACAGGAAGTAGGAGAAAGTGAACTGAATAGCATGGCAGTAGACATCCATGAGTAGACTGGTAGACTGCTACTAATTTTCCCTTTGCAACCTGAAGAATAAAGGGTCAAGTCCATCCGAAAGCAATGACTGTAAGTGTAAGCCTTATACTTACACTGTAAGGATTAGTAACATGTATTGTGTTTATGTGATGACATTTGGAGATGTTTAAACGGTTTAAACACAATGAGAAAATGCGTTAACATTCGCGCTAGCATTTGCGTTAGCATTCGAGCTAGCGTTAGCATACATGCTAGCGTTAGCCATACTAGCCTGTACACATGCTTATTGCTAGCATTAGCTATATTTACCTTGTTTACACTTAGCAGTCCTATGTGTTAATCTGTGTATGTTACACTTGCATGTATCAGATCATTAAGTGCCTTGTAACTTCTTTTTATATAGTTTCACTCCGTTTGAATGTCAGTAACTGCAAATAAGCCAATAAAGGAGCATGGCTGCTCATTTCCTGGCTCTCAAAAGAGTTTGGCTGGCTGTTTAATCTATGTTCACACGGAGACAGTACAACACATAGAGAGAACAGTACACATATTGTGTAAGTACATACAAGCAGGTCACACAGTATGATCAAAAATAAAAAAAATCTGTTTTTATTAAAAAGTACAGGTTGCATGTGTTCTCAGCCTTGGAGAAACTTGACATGTGTCTGAACCTCTCTTTAGTGGTTCATTAATAAAACAGATATTTCAACGTGTGCCTACTTTGTTCATGTACTGTTGAGGTTAATTTCAGTAGATGTGTGCTATAATGTATTTACAAAGTGTGAAGAGGAGATCACTTTAGAATAGGGAACCTGTTCAGGTCAATTAGAGTCAAACTAATAGCTTATTGGTTATGAACAATAATTCACTTTAAAATAGGGAACATGTTTATTGGATAGAAATACCTAATTTTGAGTTATTTAGACACAATTAACACTTATAGTTTCATGTCTTGTTACATAAGAATAGATCATATTTGTTAAGTGTTATAATGGGAGAATAACTATTCTTGTGGTACTACTGCCTTATTAGGCCCATATTGAGCAGCGCATATTAAGACCAAAACTCATGTACAACAACTTCCTTGCTTGCAATAAATAAGCACTAATTAGAGGGTTATTGAGGAAAAACTCAACTAATGGCTTATTACTTGTAGAATAAGGCATTAATAAGTGTTTTTATAATGACTAATAAAGAGCCAATATACTGCTAATATGCATGTTAATTAAAAACTAGTTGATGGTTAATTTGTGTACCTTAATATACAGTGTTAGCAAAATACTGTACTCACCAAAGCTGACGAGTCACCTAATAAGAGTTCTGTTGGACAGCTTGAAATAAGACAAACCAAATTCCCAATATTCTTCTTCTGCTGTTCTTATTCTAAATGTATGTATTTGTACTAAACATATGTGGGTGTGTCTCCACAGGTATAAGAGGATTCTGAAGAACCAAATGTCCTCAGACGATGAGAAGCAGAGCTGCTCAGAGCTTCTCTCACATTATGACAAAACTAAGACGGAGTGGCAACTGGGGAAGTCAAAGGTGAAGCACACACACACCAAACTCATAGCTACCGTACCAACTTTCCTAACCCAGAACCAACCTAGCTTTTCACCTTATCCCAACAGTTTTCTTTCTAAAAACGAAAGTGTTGACTCTGAAATAATGTTTTTACTCCCCATAGTTTCATTAATGAAAGTGCCAACTCTCTCAAACAGATAGAATATGCAGTACACCAGTCAGTCATTTAAGTCCTCTAAAAACATGTTTCAACCTCTCAGAAATCAAGTTTTTAAGCTTTTTCCTTCATGGATTTAAATATATGGCACACAGTCAATTTAAGCAGAAAATCCTGCTCTATTGCAAATTGGGTAAATGCGGGGGTTTCTGGGAATATTCTTTTCTCAATAAGTCGAGCTGCTGTCATTCCCAAAGGGTGTCACAGTTCAGTTTGCACAGCCCCAGATGTGACTCATGTCCCAAATGTTTGTGTGGCCGGTTGTGGTCAATCCTCGGCTCTCCTGCTGGCAACCACTGAGTAACTTGCCACTCCGTAAAACCCCTAACACCAACGACTGTTACTGTAACCCAACGCGGGCACTTACCATAATCCTGAGGCCGTCTCATTTCAGCTGAAAGAGTTAGCTTCATGAGGATGAACAAAACAACCGGCGAGTGATTTGGAGTGGCGATGGTTATTTATCTTGAAAAGTTATCATAGCGCTATTTTTTTTTCTTCTGCCCCTTTGTTTCAAACAATCCATCCCAGAGCAAAGCGTTCTCTTGTTCTCTCCCAATGAATGATTAACTTTTTAATGACCTCTTTGCCTAATTTTGAACTCAGCAAAGATGGACTTTTCACAGCATGCGAAGGCTATAAATAAAACGGTTTATAGGATTTCTTAAAATCAACTAAATCCACATTTGTTAATTCCTGCTCTAAGCTGTGGTTTCTCTGCAGCCGTTAATCGTGGAGACATTTCAAATTTGTCGGACAGTTTAGTTGTAATACACCATCTGACTGGCACACTATGTATAGTGTCAGCTGCACACATGCTGAATATACGTTGAGAGGTTGAGACCAACATGTTTCATGTGTTGTTTCTTATTAAGTTTAGAACTGGTGCATAACCACTAATGTGCACATGCCGATCTATATTAAAGTTCTCACACATGCACACAGTATAAATCTCTGCAGTCACCGTGTATTACTGACTTCAGAGACAGGAACCTTTTTTTTCTCTGTGGGTAAAACTTCATGGGTCAGCACTTTGACCTTAGACTGTCTCTGTTAATGACTGCTCCACTTTACAAGCAGAACAAGACCACGACCGAGTCTGTGTCATCCTGCCCACATGCTTGTGTTTTTGATGGCAAAGTCATATTTTGGGGCTGAGGGAAATGTAGTGTGGGTTGTGGGAAAGGGGGCTGGGAGACAGAAAGGGGGCTACATTTCCTTCGGAGAAACAATCTGTGTGTAATTATATACATGCTGATTGTGTGCAGAGGAAGTGTGTTGCCCAGAATTAGGGGCCGGGGTGATGTTGCATGAAGTGTGTGTCTGGTGTGTGTGAGTATATATGTGTGTGTGTTTGCGAGACATTTGTTTTACAGACGAGGGAAGGATGTGGACGAAGAGGAAGCTTCCTCTTTTCACAGACTTTACAGAGGCAGGCACGGCTGCAGCTGCGGTGTCCTTTGATTAGTGGAACATCTGGGGACAACACACACACACACACACACACACACACACACACACACACACACACACACAAACTCAAAGGTCTCACCCTTTATAGAAGCAGTTCATCCTCCAGGCTAGTGACAGATATTGACTTATTATATAAACTGGTTGGTTATCCCAGCCTGCTTTCATGGTTGAACAGAAACTGATTATGTTTTAAAATATCATGTTACTGCTCTATTTGTATTCCTTGTTAGCTTTTAGGTCTAGAATAAGCTGTCAGATGTCTCACAGACACTGTGCCAACTTTTTAAAAGTCTCCGGGAGAGAGGAAAGAGTTAACTAAACTCTTTCTCTTCCTTCACAAGAGCAAGGAGGGGTGTGGCTTTCTGTCTGGACACAAGCCACTATCCCTCCCCCTCATCCCCCCATCCCTCCTCTGCCTACCTCTCCCCTCCCCTCCCTTACTGTGACTTTCTGCCTGTGCACGTCAGTCGAGCTACCAAGGCAGCGGTAGGAGAGCAGCAGTAGGGAAATGCTCAGGGAGGAACACAATGAGGCTCTGCAGCATCGGCTTTAGCAGCAACACTGCAGTCCCCGTGCCAGTCCCCCCCCCTCTGATCTGATCTGCAGCCAGGGAGAGCAGCTAGCCCGCTAGCCTTAACTGCACCAAAGCGTCCTCTGCAGTGGGCACAGGGTGCTGCCAACAGACAACAAGGGGCCCTTCACATCTCTTTTGGGCCCTCTGTTGCAGCCTTACCAAGGAGAGGAACTAACCCATCCTGTGTCTTTCCCTTCCCCAACCTCCCTCTCTCACTCGGTCACTCCCTGTCGGCCGTGGCGCTGCCCGTCCCGCAGGTGTTCTTGAAGGAGGCCTTGGAGCAAAGGCTGGAGAAGGAGAGGGAAGAGGTGCGGCGCAGGGCTGGCATGGTGATCCGCGCCCACATCCTCAGCTATGTGGCAAGGTGAGTGTTGGGGGCTGAGTGGCAGTGGCAGTTGTCAGTGTTTGTTTTGTAATCGAGGTGTACAGCCTGTGCGTGTGGTTTTTGGAGGGGGCTGGGGGCATGCCTTTGCACATGTTTCCCTTTTTGTCTGTGTGTGTGTTATGGGGGTTTATATACAGTATAAGTTCAGCTTTATAGATGATCTAGTGCAATTAAGGTATACAGGAATTGTCCAGTGTATTTTTAGAATATTTTAAAGAACTTTGGAGAACAATCTCTACAACTTTCCTGAACTCCAGAAAGTCTTATGTATGTGAAATAATAAAGTATGATCACCAAAGAATGTAATAAAAAAGTCCTTAGGCCCTCAACAGGGGAAGAAAAAAGTATTTTAAAAAAAAGTCAGTTGTTCTTTCACAGTTTGAGAAATGTACAAATATTTCCATATGATGTAATGTATTAGCCACGAACAACATAGAGTCATGGCATCTATAATATTTCTCTTGTTTCTTATTAATGAGTTAGAGAGGAATACAATGAATTTAACAACTTTAAAACATCTCCTAGAGCATAAAAGTAAAATAAATATTGTCCATTTCATGCTGCTTAGTAGGGCCACCCTTGATATGCTGTACATAGTTATCTGTGAGCTTCAACAAGGTTTAAATGTATTGCTTCACAATCAGCAGAACAGTCAATGTTGTTTTTATTCACTGAATAAATATCAGGTGTTTCAGCCTGAGCAGCAACTTTTCCCCCTCTCCGCTCTGCCTGTCGGACAGGACGACATCCATCACTGTGCTGCTTAAAAAATGTGCACATGCAGACACCCTCAGGGTTGTAGTCTAACGGTGCTCCACCTGTGTGCTTCAACATGTAAGGTCACTCTGAAAGGCTCTGTTGGGAGAGTATAATAGGACGGATGAGTGTTCAGGTTGTGAGTTTCCTTCCCTTCAGAGCTGCTCATGTTAGAGGCGGAGGCTAGGAAAGTTCCCTAAAAACACAAGTAAAGCCTTTGTGTTATTACATGTAACATTACCTCTTTTCTGAGGCCAGTCACAGGCCACGGAGTGATTACTAGGCCAGGCTGCGGGTCCGAGAGTCAGAGCACTGTGTGTGGTCCTTTTTGTGAGTCACGTGTGTGTGTGCGCTGTTTTTATGTGTGTGTATGCAATGCCTGAACACGGCTGCCCACACGGCCACAATGGGACAGCACAAGATCTAAACATTGCAAAGGTCACAATAAACAAGCGTTCTCACCAGGGTGTTTATTTGAATTGGGAGAGATAAAGGGCTGTGCATTGTCATAAATACATTTGTGGTGACATACAATATTGGATTACACATGTGTATATTCTTGATTTAAAGTGGACCTATCATGCAAAATGCACTTTGTGATGTCTTTTATACATACATATGTGTCCCCGGTGTGTCGGGGAACTCACGCAGCGTCAGAAAATAAAACCCTCTCTCTTTTCCTCCGTACCCAAATCTTTTAAAAACGGGTGTACAACGAGCGGATACAGATTTCCATCCGAACTGACGGATCCATCTGAACTGACGTCGGTGGACCCACAGAAAGTTGCTATCAGAAACAATGCCTGACGTGTTTTGGACGTCTTTGTTTACATTAGCAAGCCTCGCTAACACTCAGAGCTAACCTGTACTGTAGAGCAGTGATTCTCAAATGGGGGTACGCGGACCCCTAGGGGTACGTTGGGGTACTGCAGGGGGTACGTGAGGTAAAACAAATAAAAAGGTTAATTAAAAAAATACCATGCATGATTACAAAAATAATCTTAGTGCAATAAGTTAAATAGAAAACACAATTTTATATAAAATATTCCTAGAACCACTAAGGGGGTCCTCATATAAACATGTTACATTTGGGTATTGTATTTATAGTTTTTAATATAATATCATTTTGTCCATTGGTTTGTTAAACATATATTAATTCAATTGAAAAACTCCTTGGAAAAATCTTTTTTTTCATGCATAAAGATGAAAATATCCTTAGTTTGTTGTAATTTGTGCATTAAGGAGTTAATAAATCAAACACTGATGGAACATCACTATATTGTAATTATTTATATAGGCTTTTTCTGTCAAAAATGTCCGAGGTCGGTCAGGGGGTACTTGGCTGAGAAAATGTTTCAAAACTTTGAGAAGCACTGCTGTAGAGCAGGGGTTCCCAACCTTTATTGTGCCAAGGACCGGCAGATGCATAAAAAAAAATCGCGGACCGGTTGTCAATTTTAATATTTACTCACCACCAGCAGGTAGCAACAGAGGCTAATTGTATGTAACAGCCTGAACAAATACTAGAACAATATGCATCCAAAACATATTAACAACGTTTAAAAAAGAACCAGTGTCGTTTTTTGGTTTTTCGGAAAACCAAAAAACCGACGTTATTCGGTTTTAAAACCAAAATTGGAAAACAGATAAATCAACGTTTTGGTTTTGTTTGTATGATTTACGGATAATCCAGTGAATGCTGGGAAAACGAGGAGAAGGTGCATTATAAAGGAGATGTCCGGTCGCCAGGGGGTGTGTGTGTGTGCGTGCGCGTGTGTGTGTGTGTGAGACACTATCATAATATCTTCTGAAAACAACTGATAGTGACGTTCGTTCCGGTGCACGTTCGACAGCATTTAGCACTACATCGAGATTAAGATTAAACTAATTTATTTTTGGGAACACCCGCATATATATATCACTGTACCCTGTATACCAAGGCGGTTATGCCATCACTTACTGTACGGAGGCTCGGTCACTGGTACTTTTTCATTTACAAAGCCATGTTGGATAAACTACCATCTTATATCTGCTCCCTGATCTCTCTGCGAATTGAAAGTACTTATTGCCTGAGATCGCATGCTGTGGTTTTATTAAATGTGCCAAGTGCTAGGACTGTCTTAGGGAAGAAAGCTTTTAGATGTGCAGCTCCACTAACATGGAACAGTCTGCAAAAAGAATGGAAAATTACCAAGCTAGTACCACTACATGTTTTTAAAGCTCGGTTGGATGCTACAAAATCAGATGCTGTTGGTACCTGTACTTGTGGTTAAATATGTAAATTGTAATCCTTGTACATTTTGCTGTATGATGTCCTTTTGTTGTTCTGTTGTTTATGTCTTCTTGTGGAACCTACTGCTGCAGGTCTCCCTTGAAAAAGAGATCATTGATCTCAATGGGATTTTACCTGGATAAATAAAGGTTTTGAATTGAATTGATATAGGCTACCTATGGAGTTAGCAAGATGTGTGTAAATTACTGTTCATGGTCATTTGAAAACAAATGCCGGTGTCGGACAGACACAAACACACCGAATACACAGAGCTGAGCAGAGCACATACACATACACACATACACACACACACACACACATCATGCGCCTTGGTGACTGGACATCTCCTTCATAAAACTAATAAAAGGGGGAGTAATCGGGCAGTTCGATGTGTGTAGAGATGTGTGTCGAGGTGTGTGTGGTTAACACGTCGCAGCCTGCAGTCACTCTCAAGCTGTTCTGATGAAGGTAAACACAGCGAAGGCGGTGCGTAAAAAGGCACAGCTCTCGGCGCGCTGGTGCTGCACTTCTCAGAGGCGGAGTTACACGTCCCGCTGCCTCCTGATGCTGCAGCCATTTCATGAAGTGAAGGAGGTGTTCCTTCTATAAAACAGCTGCGGGCAGCAGGTACTGTGAGTGTCCCGGACATGAATTCATAGATCAAGGCAGACTGGTTTACTCTCCTGTTTTGCCAATCCGGTGCTTAAACAAATAGCTCTACACCCCTGGCCGACATGTCCTTAAAATGAAGTCCGAGTTTGAAATATATCTCAAATAATGTATGCACTGCCATTTCCCCACATAAACACAACAGTCTGCAATGAAACGGTTGTCTCCTGTGCGCGCCTCTTCCTACTTGGCGCACCGGTAACTTTCTCGTGCGCACGAGAGGCTGAGACCCTGAGCCGCCGAATCCCTCGGAAACATCATAAAAGCAATTTTCAACGGTTTTCTGGTGAAAGATTAACTAGGCTACTGGAGGAAATAATATGACTGGTATAGGTGCGAAAAACACTTTTTAAAAAAAAGATTATGATACAATATTTTTATATATTTATAATTCTGAAAATATTACGATAAACTCACCGCTATTTCACGGCCCGGCAGTAACACAACCGGTACCAGTCCGCGGTTGGGAACCCCTGCTGTAGAGCACATGTGTTTAAAAAGCAGGAAATAAAAAAGGAACTCACCTTGTGATAAACCTGCAAGAGAAAAAGCATTTGAGCTCCATACTATTTCAGAAATAATCCTTGACGTGGTTTAAACAGGATGGTGTTTTATCACAGCAGAATTGAACTTTATCTCCGGTAGAATTCTGATCAGGCATTAGCTCCGCCTCCTCTTATTTATTTTTTTCAAGCTAAGGACCCAAGATCTGCGTTTCTCTAACAGGGCTTCAAAAGAAGGGGTTGAGCAGTATGAGGCATGGCTACAATGGGTGAACTGTTTGGTATTTTGAAAAAAAAACTTCACAGACATGTTTTGTATAGGTATGGCCCTACAATATATGTTTCAAATATAGCATGATAGGTCCACTTTAAATGTGTGTGTTTCATCTTGTCATTAGGAAACAATATAAGAGGGTTCAGTCCAGCGTGGTCACCATCCAGAAGAACTACCGCGCTCACTTTTGGAGACGCGTCTTCCTGCGCCTGCGCTTCGCCACCATCATCCTGCAGAAACATCACAGAGGCCAGCTGGCCCGATCACTCCATCGCCATCTCACGGAGGAGAAACAGAAACGAGAGGAGAGGAAGAGGAGAGAAGAGGAAGAGGAGAGAAGGCGCGTAGAAGAGGAGAGGAGGAGGATGGAGGAGAGGAAGCTACAGGAGGAGGAGAAGAGAAAAAGGGAGGAGGAGGAGAAGAGAAAAAGGGAGGAGGAGGAGGAGGAGGAGAGACAAAGGCTGATTGACGAGGAGATGAAGAGGAGGGAGGAGGAGCTGAGATTAATGAAGGAGAAGGAGAAAGGCCAGAAACTTCTAGCTAAAGCAGAGGAGAAAAGGTAGAGTCATTCCCTCTTGGCGACACATTGAAGAGCCATCATTTGAAATTTGGATTTGTCCTTTATGTAAACTTGTCACACTAAGTGTTTTTCATTTCATTTTTAGGAAGTCACTGGTAAATGGAGTCTGTCAGAAGGTAATTCCTTTTTTTCCCTAAATGATATTCAAGTAACAGGAAGAAAATTACATGTGAATGTGGTATCATAAAGTATTTTATTTACTCTCTAGGTCTCTTGCCCTTTCTTGTCCTGTCTGCATAAGGAGCTGCCGCAGCCTCAGTCCCAAAGTCACACCTCTGAGGAGGAGAGCCGGCAGATGGAGGAGATCCAGCGGCTGGAGAGAGAGATCGAGCGCCTGCAGAAGCAGCAGGAGGACGGCGTGTCCCTCCTCGGAGACGTCTCCCACGAGGAGCTGCGGCAGATGAGAGACGCTGAGATCTTCAGACTGGAGAAGGAGGCTTCCCGCGTGGCTACTGAGTTTCTAGAGCTCCTGGACTTTGGTGGTTTAGAGCCATCCCTCTCGAGTGAGGAGAACCTCCACGACCCCACTGACTCCACAGCCCCTATAGCCGAGGAGGAGGTAGATGAGGGTTTCCACGCTGAAGAAGAGTGTGTTCCTTTGCCTGACTTCCCTCCTCCGGCTGTGGTTCCTCTGGACAAAGAAGTATTCCAAAGTATTCCCCCTCCTCCGCCTGACTTTGCAGAAGGACTAGTTGCCGTCCCTGTCTCTGCCTCCTCTCCTGCTACACCAAAACTCCTTTCCCCCAACGGACTGAGTCCTGCCCCCTTCCTCTCCGACTCCCGCACCTCCAGACCCCCTCCTCCTCCTGTGGTCACTAATGGAGAAAGGCAGCCGAGCCTGAGGGTCAGCAGGGGGTCCGACTTTGAGCCTGTGATCGAGGAGCGGCCCCAACAGAACCTGCCAGACCCAGAGTCGGACTATGACCAGGAGGAGTTTGAGGAGGCTCATGGGAGCTCGGGTGCTAGCACCAATGACGGCCATATAACAGATGAGGAGGTGTTGAGGAAATCCTCCTGCACCCAAAACAGCCTGGACTCCTTCAGAGGCAGCTCGGACTCGGTGAGGACTAATAGGCTGAGAATCATTTCTGTCAAATGCTACACATCTAATCCAGATGGCATACCATTTGGAGTATCTTTATTTAGCTAAAAAAGTGATTGGAATTGCAGTTGAACCGAAAAACAATGTTGTTTCGAGTACTTTTTGCCCTAAAAATGCAGGGAATGAGTGCATTTTCCTATAGGTCAAATCTAACTTAAGCCATTAATCACAAACACACATCTTGATTCCCAATAGTAAACATTTTCCCCCCATTTCAAACATTCCGTGTGCATGTGTGCACGCTTAAACCCCCCCTTAACATATCAAAAGGCTCAGCTCATGTTAGAATCACAGTGAAATACTGTTGCAATTATTTGTTTTGGCTCTGCTGATGAGCGTGTGAATCTATTCCCAGATTCTGCAAGTCAAGCGGAGAGCTCAGACATAAAACTGTCAGATCAGCATAACGTCAAAGGGAGAGCTGTGTGGGTGTGTGTGTGTGTGTGTGTGTGTGATGTGTGTGTGTGTGTGTGTGTGGTGTGTGTGTGTGTTGTGTGTGTGTGTGTGTGTGTGTGTGTGTGTGTGTGTGTGTGTGTGTGTGTGTGTGTGTGTGTGTGTGTGTGTGTGTGTGTGTGTGTGTGTGTGTGTGGTGTGTGTGTGTGTGTGTGTGGTGTGTGTGTGTGTGTGTGTGTGTGTGTGTGTGTGTGTGTGTGTGTGTGTGTGTGTGTGTGTGGTGGTTTGATTGACAACAAGATCAGACAGATGTATGGCACTGGTCTCAGTACCGAAATTACTGAATGAAGACTCTGACTTTGAGTAGTCTTAAGAAAATAAAAGCCTGTTCTTTCTTGAAGAAAAAAAAAGTATACAGGTTTTAATATTCAAATGTGGAACACCAGATTCTTAAGCACATTGCTCGTGCAGCTATATCCCTGAAATACAGCACTCGTCATAAATGCTGCTTTTTATGTCTTTCAGTTTATTGACAGCGATGAGGAAAACGATGGCTTCGTGGACACAGATGAAGAGGTTTCCAATGGGAGAGTGAATCTACTGAATGGCACTGGGCCTCCATACTTCCACGGCTACCTCTACATGAAGAGTGAGTACCTTTACAGGGTGTCCGCGGGGTCTTAAAAAGTATTAAAAGTTGCTAAATCAATTTAGCGAAAATTAAGGCTATTAAAAAGTATTAAACGGCATTTTCCAAGGTATTAAGAAGGTCCACAGCAACGACAACACGAAACACCCTTTTATTTACTGAAACAACATGTCGGGAAACCCCCTCAAGGTGGCCCCATGCATAGCGTGCCATAAAATGCTGCTTCTTATTTTAAGTTTCGTTGCCTCCGCTCTGTGGGGGGGGGGGGTTAATCTGCTGGTGGACTACCTGAGAGATATACAGCAGGAGAACACGCCGTCCACCGCGGAGAATAAACAGAAGGGCAACCATGACAACCATGCTCCGGGGTGTTCTTCGCTGCTTTTGGTGTATTTTGTGGCGACAGCAGCGCCACTTACAGGCCTGGCATATGTACTACAGCGTTTCCAGCATTTCCAGCGGTCTAGTGTGAACGGACACGTTAATGAATCGAATGCGTGTGAACGGAAGACTTTTTTGCGTTTGCGTATGCGTTTTACTGTATGCGTCCTCGTGGGGCCGGGGTCTAAGCCAAACTATATCCGGTCACAGAGATCTGCTATTTTAAAGTAAGGTCAACACATATCGACCCTAAATATAGTCTATATTAAGAACGAGAAAAGTCTTAACATATATATCGTTTTTTGTAAACATATGACAAATGTGTGAGGGTGATGACCCCTGGGTATTTGTGAGGGAGCTCCTATATGGCATTACCCCGCTGAAGCTCACCAAAGTTTAATATATTTCATAGTTCAAAGTTTTGTCAATTGTTTTGTTTATTGGTCAAATACTGGTTTCTGATGGTTTCTGAGGAGTTCTACTGGAATGAAAGAGTACAGAAGCAACAAAGCAGCATACTGCATTAAACCTGACCTTCACAGAGAGGTTGAAGTTCATGTGGAGAGGAGGCTTCAGTAGTCTGTCTGCACTCTGTTTAGTTGTGCTATCTTACAATCAATATGTGACCTGCTCCATCCAAATCAGTCGCATTGCCCCGAAGACACATTTTGAGTTGTATACACTGCTGGAAAGAGGAGATTCCTAGCTTTCTAATGATATCAGGATTGTTTTTGTACTCCAAATATTAAGCGAAATATGTCACATTATATAATGACTGTCACAGTCATCATTTTGAGAAAAAGGCCTTCAAAGTTTCCTCTTCTCTGGAATCCATCGATCTGATTGATTATTAGCAAATTATCAAAATACTACGGAGGGAAGATATTTTCGTTTGGAGGGGAAGCTCGCGAGTGTGTGTGTGTGTTTGTGTATTTTTGCGTTTGTGTGTATTGTGTTTGTTTCCCGGGGAAAACCCTCACGAGAAACACCGGCTGTTGTTATGCCTGCTGTGACGTTAAGTTACTCCGTTCTCCACTTGTAATTATGCCGAAGCTTCAAAGCTGTATTTATCATCTGAATTTGCCGAAACAAGTTTAATATTCTGAAAGCCAAGACTTTGTTTAATTAAAATCAGATAAAAACAAACTGTAACGGACCCTGCCGTGTTATCTATGATTACTATACTCTTACATTCATAATGTCAGCCGGAGGGAGGGGGGGCGGCGCTGCGGAAGAGCAGATTGCGAATGAGAGGTGCCTGTCTTCGTCCCTTTACAAGCTTCAAACATGTATTTATCGTGTGTTTTTGGAAATAAAAGTTTCATATTCTGAAAGCCAAGACTTTGTTTGTTTAAAATCAAACAAAACACCCGAACCCCGAAAAAATAGTTTTTTACGTAAATCCACGTTTATTTTGAAATGAGCCGTTGCGACTTCCGACTGATTTCGATAGAGCGGGTCACAGAGTAAATGTGAGGTAAAGTGTGTCGCCAATGTAACCGGTTAGAACTCGAAGTTGCGATGAGGTCTTAAAATGTATGGAAAGGGTCTTAAAAAAGGTCTTAAAAGGTATTACATTTGACTTCAGGATTCCTGCATAGACCCTGCTTTACCAAATCACTACCCAGCAGGCACACATCATTTTAGCAGCTGAACGTGGCATTTCTGGTTGTTTTATCAATTAAAAAAACAGTCTTTCTTTGTTTACTGCTTAACTTTGTCTTTATGTTTCAGTACTTGTATTCTCTGCTTTAGCTGTTTGTTAGCTATTAAATGATTGTGTATGGGTGTCTGTTTTACAGCTCCCATAACACTGAGATTTCCTATAAAACATTAATAAATGAACATCCTCTCCGCCTTCAGGTGGTCTGATGATCCCCTGGCGTCGGCGCTGGTGTGTCCTGAAGGACGAGACCTTCATGTGGTATCGGGCCAAGCAGGACTCCCTCAAATCCGGTTGGCTTTACAAAAAAGGAGGAGGAATGTCCACCCTGTCTCGGCGCAACTGGAAGATGCGCTGGTTTGTTCTGCGGGAGTCGAAGCTCATGTACTTTGAGAGCGACAGCGAAGAGAAGCTGAAAGGAACCATCGATGTCCGGACAGCCAAGTAAGACCCTGTCCTCCGATGTTGGGATTCAAATATATATATTTTACTTTTCTTACCTATTTTGGGGGTTTCATTATATGTGTCAAAGAAGAACAGAACAATATAAGTTTTTGTCTGACTGTGTGTTTCTGTAGGGATATAGTGGACAATCATGAGAAGGAGAATGCACTGAATATTGTGACTGACGAGAGGACCTACCACATCTATGCTGAGTCCCCAGAAGATGCCAGGTATGATATATCCATAGATTCTATAGATATCATGTACTTACTGTGTCTGTTTTGTATGTGGTGTTTTTCTTTGTCATAATCTCTGTTAAATCCATGTGTGGGATAAAGTTCCCCCTTGTGGTTGCCAGAGGAAATTCACAATGTCATTTTCAATTATATGTTTGCTGACTGTTATATTCTGAACTCCCTCTGACCCCATCCAGTGGTTGGTTCAATGTGCTGAGTCGGGTCCACAGCGCCAGCCCGGAGCAGCTCCTGGAGATGAACCATGAGCAGGCCAACCCCAAGAATGCAGTGGTGAGTGCTGCTTCACCTCGCCTGAGCCCCAGCCTCAAGTCAACATCTTTCAGCCGTTATGATGAGGCGTGTAACTGAATCAGTCAAAGTATGATGGTCCAGATTTGGGTCATATGGTTATTTAAAGTGAAGAAGCAAAATACACACACTGGTTTATTATTGTCCCTTTGTACAGTATGGTCAATCAAATATTGCAGTGGTGTTAATAGGATTTAGCAGATTTAGAAATGAAATGAAAATCAACAGGATAACAAAATAATGGAAAGAGAAGCATGAAAGCCACATTACATAGAAATACAGTTACCAGTATGTACAATATGATTATTATTATGATTAACTGCTCTATCAAGGGGTCAGTATGTATCAAACGAAGAGTTTGTCAGAAATATGCCTTTGTGACCCAAATTTGCAAACAAGTCATTCAAATGTCCCTTTTGTCTCCAGGGCACACTAGATGTGGGCTTGATTGATTCTGTTTGTGCATCAGACAACCCGGACAGGTAAGGAACAACGATAACACTACAGGATCTATTCAGACTGCAGTTTTAGTGGAACTGCAGCATGTACATATCAAATATAGGGATAACAACACTGTTCATGTGATCTGTTTTGCAGACCAAACTCGTTTGTGATCATCACGGCTAACCGAGTGATCCACTGCAACACAGACACAGCTGAGGAGATGCACCACTGGATCGGCCTGCTGCAGAAATCCAAGGGAGACTGCCGGGTTGATGGACAGGAGTTCTTAGTCAGAGGTCAGTCAGTTGAGACACACTCTGGGATGTTTAGGATGTGAGAGTTGATTCTTGTAATTGTGCGGTAGGATACTTCTGTTTAGCTGAAAAGATCCTGCCCGGAAAAAACCAACATGCTATGAATTAGGTAAAAAAAAGTTAATATTAAACAAATATTTACAACAAGATGTATCTTCCCTCAGGCTGGCTACATAAAGAGATGAAGTCAGGAGCAAAAAGCTCTTCTCTGAAGCTGAAGAAGCGCTGGTTTGTTCTCACTACAACCTCTCTGGACTATTACAAGTCGTCGGAACGCACCGCCTCCAAACTGGGAACTCTGGTGCTCAACAGCCTCTGCTCCGTAGTGCAGCCGGACGAGAAAGTCTTCAAGGACACTGGTCAGTTCAGAGTCAACGTTATTCTCAGTCATCTTGAGCGACAGAAATATACTGATATATTGAGTTTAAGCTTTGGTCTCTTAAAGGTATCTGATCGTTTTTAGATGTAAACATTTTGTACGGCTTCTAATGACTTTGTTTTCTTGACACAGGTTACTGGAATATAATAATCCATGGGCGTAAACACTCTTACCGACTCTACACCAAAATGCTGAATGAAGCCATGCGGTGGGCGAATGCCATACAGGGAGCGATAGACAGCAAAGTTCCCATTGAAACGCCAACGCAACAACTCATCAGGGACATCAAGGTATTAAAGGATTATTCTGCGTGCTTCTCTCTGTTACTAATGTCATAGACAATATCTGATTGTCTGTGTGCAATGTCTGACGAGATTAATGTGTCTCATATAATAATATTTATAAATGTAATTCTGCTCTACATGCTCTTAACATATTGATATTTTTGAACTCCAATTATGTTCAGTCATGCAAACCTTTGGCAGGGACACACACTGTAGTAAAGTGAGGTACTTCTACTCACTGAGTGTGTGCCGTGATTTTCTTAAATGCTCACCTCTTTTTCTACCACATAACTGTTTACTGCAAATATAATGCTCATCACTGATATTTCTATTCTCTTATTTGTTACTTTAATTGCTCTACTTTGTCGTGAAGTTAATTCATGACCACTCGACTAAAGGTCCCGTCTTCTGTTTGTCCAGGAGAGCAGTTTGAATGTGGAGGCTGTGGAGCAGACATACTGGAGGAACCCCATCCTGAGATATACCCAGCATCCTTTGCACTCCCCTCTTCTACCTCTGCCCTATGGAGATGTCAGCGTCCACTGTGAGTTCAGTGGCCTGCAGCAACTGTTAGCAAGCTGTTCAGGACTTCTATTAATCCTGACAGAATCAAATACTCTATTTACATTGTTTGACGATACACAAAGCACATACTCCAATCTTTTTCGCTTGTTACAGTGACACATACCTCAATAGATGCATGTATATGTTTATGCCATTTAAAAGCCTCCTAGTTTTTGAATGCACTAAAATAAACCTTTAAAGCAAATATTTACCATAATATCTGAAAGTGATCTAATATTATTTTACTACTATCAAAAAGAATTGTAGTTGCCTTGCTTGAATTTAAATCCTCCGTCTGTCCCTCTCTCCCAGTGCAAAAGGAGAAGGGTTATACCAGCCTGCAGGATGAGGCGGTGAAGATTTTCAACTCACTGCAGGAGATGGAGGCCGTGTCCGACCCCGTGCCAATCATCCAAGGAATCCTCCAGACCTGTCAAGACTTGAGGCCTTTAAGGGACGAGGTTTACTGTCAGCTGATCAAACAAACCAATCACGTCCCGCACCCAAACAGCCTGTCCAATCGCGCCCACTGGCATCTCCTCACTTGTATGAGCTGCACCTTCCTGCCCAGCCGAGGTATCCTTCGCTACCTCAAGTTTCACCTCAAAAGGTACAGTGAATGTCTGGTTATGCCATGATTCATAACAATCCTATAGTCAAACTGACAAAGGGGTGACACCTCGACTTCACTGTCTTTGTGCCTTTGTGTTTTTTAAAGGATTAAGGAGCTGTACCCCGGCACAGAGATCGAAATGTTCGCCCATTTCGTTAGTGAGTCTCTGAAAAAGACCAAGAACAGGGAGTTTATTCCCTCTCAAGAGGAAATCGTGGCACTGCTTACCAGACAGGAAATGACCACCACAGTGTACTGCCACGGAGGAGGCTCCTGCAAGATCTCCATTAACTCACACACCAGTGCTGGAGAGGTAAGCTGTGGTCATTGCTGCACAGACTAGTTTAAATGTTCCTTTTGGAAGATATCGTTGCGATTACCTTACACAAACTCTGATAAAGATATGTTGTTTTTATGCTTGGCTAGAGAAGGAGTTTTACTAATGCAAACTGAGGATTATGATTGTTATCTTGTGTTGCTTTTTCCAGGTGGTGGAGAAGCTGATCCGAGGTCTGGCTATGGAGGACAGCAGAAACATGTTTGCACTCTTTGAACACAACAACAATATAGACAGAGCTGTGGAAAGCCGAGTTCTTGTGGCTGATGTTTTGGCCAAATTTGAAAGGTATTCTAACATTCCTGGTTACTTTTATTACACATTATGTTTGATAACATTATTTAAAATTAGGCCCCTGTTACATAGGATATTTAACATATGCAAAGCCAATATTTAGATGGGTAAATGACAGGTTTGTGGCTTTTCCAACAGACTGGCTGGCAGTGAGGAAGCTGAGGATGAAGGCCAATGGAAACTCTATTTCAAGCTTTACTGCTTCCTGGATGTGGAGAGCATGCCTAAAGAGGGGGTGGAGTTTGCGTTCATGTTTGAGCAGGTGTGTTTTAATCTTCTTCATACACCTTTTATAAAGGTTCATTCACAAGTCGGTGCTAATGATGATGCTGTTCTCTTCAGGCACACGAGAGTTTGACCCGCGGCCACTTCCCCTCCCGAGAGGAGACCCTGCAGCACCTGGCCGCTCTGCGCCTGCAGTTTCTGTTCGGTGACAAAGCGAAGGTCACCTGGACTCTGGAAAACGTCTACCCTGTGGGTCGCCTACGCAACCGCATCCTCCAGTTCACCAAGGTGGGAGCAACCTCAGGGACAGGCCAAACTCTGGAGCGTCGGAGGACCAGCTTCCTGGACGGGACCCTGCGACGGGGGCTGAAGACCGGCTCAATGAAGAAGCAGCGCATGGAGGAGGAGCAGATGTTGGAGATGTGGATAAAGGAGGAGACGTCTGCCACCAGGGCGAGCATCGTGGAGAAGTGGTCCCGCCACACCGGGGTGGACCAGCACCAGGCCATGCTCAAATACATGACCATCATCAAGGAGTGGCCTGGATATGGATCCACACTGTTTGACGTTGAGGTAAGTTAACGCAACTTATACTAGATGTGTTGAAGAAGATCAGTTTTAGCCTTGAAGCCTGAAAAGCGTTATTTGCACTTAACCTAATAGAACAAAAGTAATAACCCTCATAATGAAATAACTTGTTCAATATTGTGATACAAATGTCCTGCCTATATTGTGGTAACATGTGTCCTCATCATCAGTTGAACACATCATTGCCACATAACAATGTATAATACCACTTGTATCCTGTTGTAAATGTCAAATTCAACATAAAGCCAAACATAAAATCAGTGTCAATGGTCACTCATAAGAGTATAATACATTTTGTAAGCTTGCACACTTTACAAAGAGCATCCTCTTTTACATTCTTAGATTTTCAGTCAAAATGATTACAATACTAGTTTTGGGGAAAAACGCCCCATCTGAAAGGTAATATATTATTCGTAAATATATCAGTCAGAACAGACAGGTAGGTCCAACAATTCCTTTAATTGGGATTAAAAACATTTTTGATCAGGATAAGGGCAAATGTATTACATTTTCAGGACATAATTGCATACAGGCCTTGATACTGGTCCAGCAGATCAGTGTGTAGTTACCTGCCAGCCCATTGCACATACTGTCTTAAGTTTATATCTCCCTGTGTTTGTGTGTTTTTCTAGTGCAAAGAAGGAGGCTTCCCTCATGACCTCTGGTTGAGTGTGAGCGCTGAAAATGTGTCTGTCTTCAAGAGAGGAGAGCCCAAGCCTCTAGAGACCTATCCATATGAACACATTGTTTTCTTTGGCGCTCCGCAGCCATGCACCTACAAAATCACCGTGGATGAGAGAGAAATGCTCTTTGAAACACCCCAGGTACGTCATATTTCCCACAGATAAGATTGTGTGTGTTTGAGGGAACAGGATTTCAGAATGTGCTTATCTTCTCTGATTTTGTGTTTCATCTATACAGGTTGGAGAGATCACAAAGATCATGAAAGCCTACATAAACATGATTGTGAAGAAGCGCTGCAGTGTGAAGTCTGTGTCCAGCTATGGAACTAACTGGATCAGGTGATGGACTTGACAGGATTCAAAACATGTTCAGATAAAGATAACCCGAGAGAAGAGGAGGGGACGGCACCATGAAAAAGAATCTCCTCGATAGAGATTGTGTTTCAGAGGTTTTCACTGACTACGTAGCAACGCAGAAAACAACTCCATCCAGAGAAATTCATTTCCACAAAGAGACAGAAAAGGCTCTTGTGCTTGTGGCAAAAGTGGCAACATTCAAGCTAAGCACCATTTTAAGCTTTACACTCGTCCCGTGTTGCTAACCTCCATACAGTCTCCAAACATGACACTCCCTCTCATTAGTTACACTGGTCATTTCTCACCTCTTGAAATGTATATTCATGTATATTTTTGTGGATTTGAAAGAAAAACAAATCAAAAAGACCCTACCCCTTTGTCTCACATTTCACAACAGATATTTATTTGACTTCTGAATCCAAAAGTGTACAACATAAATCCAAACTAGATCAAAGAATGTGTTTCATTGGCAGACTGACTGTTGTCCTCAATTGTAATGAATGTTCTCCTAAATGGAGATTCCCTCAGGTTATTGTGCTTGCCTTATTTAAGTATTCATTATTATTCTGGACTGAAGGATTGAGTGCAGATTCAGTTGTAGTTATGGCTTTCACCGCTGAATGTGCTACAAAAGCAAATCCCTAATAAATACAAAAAGAAGGAAGTTCCACATGAACCACTGCATCAGTGGAGATGCAACATCTATAACCACTGCAGTCGAGTATTTTGTCCTAAGACACAATAACTAAAATAAGTAAAACTATGTTGCGCTTCTCTCCTAGAAAAAGTACTTTGTGTATGTTGTGTGCAGACTTTAGGTTAAGTTGCTGAAACTGATGTTCCAGGATGTGTTTTTAGAAACAAGTAGGATATTGCTTGTTGAGTGTGTCTGTGTCTAAAGATTGTTTAACTGTGTTTTTTCAGTGATGTCAAAGGCCATGTTTGGGTGGGTGTATTTATGTATGGAAGTACCAATGGATTGGGAGCGTAACAGTCTGAGTGAGGTTATTGGCATGCTGGAAATGTATTGATGCAGTCGTCATAGTACTTTTGTTTCTCTTTTATTGGTGCATTCTGAGACACAGACATGTAGATTCAAACACGTTGTTCATAACTATTGATTTTCTTCATTTTGCGCCCTGTTTCTTATCTTTTGTCAACGCAAACAAACTTTTGTGTGTTGCCCTCGACACCGAACATGCTCAATTCCTTCTGTTAATCTTGTAAGATAGTTTCTCTCTTCCAAGTAAATGAACACAAAGGATGCCTATGCCAGTCAACTTACAGTATAGTTCATGAGTATGATCCAAACATTACGAGCTTAGTATTTACCTCACGATGCATTACCGTCTTCCGTCACTCTCCAATCGTACTCACTTGGGAGATCTGGTCAGCTGCCGGCGGCCACACCAGAGACTGATCTTGCCATTGACGATGACTGTATTTCTGAGATTTCTGATTATTTTGAAGAAGAAAAATCAGAAAATGTTTTATATCAGAATTTAAAGATGCTTTAATAAATTATTGTATTTGAAAAATGTGTTTTGTTTGTTATTGTCTTATTGTCAAATTAACTGAAATTGTTTCATGTGATTTTATTTTAATGTTTATTCCAAGTCTTTTGTTCTGTACCTCTCTTTGTCGAGGGGACGGTCTGAGCGAAGTGACCTGAACGCAGCATAGAACTTAAGCAGAGGTTTGTTCCAAAATAAGCATGATTTTAATATACTGCATACATAAGAGACCTCTTATTAACTGTACTGGATCATCATGCTGTGGAGAACTCTATTAAAAGTAAAATACCATTCAGAATAATGCATTATGTTAAATTGTGTTTTTATAACTATTGATGCATTTATGATGTTAATCACTTTAATGTTTTGGTTGGTCAATTTGGGACTGATTATACTTACTGGATGTGCTGCTATGTAGCTCTATGAATTTCCCCCTGGTGATCAATAAAGTATTATTAGTAGTAGTAGTACAGTAGTAGTAGTTGCAGTATTATTATTAATAATATGCGCAGGAGAAATTAAATGATCAATTATAAAGCTCAACGGCCTCTTGTAATTCCAATGATATCTAAAAACCTTTATCTATCTTAAAGTGTCTTTCACCAGACGAGGACTTTTATTTGGAAATTTCTTCCGAGAGGTTCGCCTCATATTTGGTCATTTAATAAGGTAACATAAAAATAAAAAACAATTGCAGTTGCTTTTCTGGTCACTAGTTTAACAAAGGAAAAACAAATGAGAAGTTACACTGCCTTGGAACGTTTCAAATTACATATATATAAATTACATATATATATTTTTTTTGTTTTTTTGTTGCTGTTTCAAAAAATGCTGTTGTCTCGACAATCTCCTCTCTTTTACATTATATACAACCAATAAACTTATTTCCTGGCATCACTAAAATATGTTTGCAGCTGTTTCGTGAGACGAGCGTCAGGGGTTGATGACGTCAGAGGGGTCCACCCTCCGGACTGAGAGGTTAGTGTTGCTGTTGTTTCTCGCAGTCCGCACGAGCTCCCTCCACTCGCTCCACAATGGCCGGAGTTAACACACTTTCAGCCTTTATTTTAGCCTTCATTTTCTTCGGTGTTTTTATAACCACGGAGGCGCAGACTTCGACTCCTGCTCCAAACACGAGTAAGAGTGTTTTTATTTTATTTAAGACTGAGGCGTTGTGCTTTGTTGTGTACAGTAACAACTGGGTCAGGGGGTGGTCACATGATAACAGAACATGGATTATGAGCAAAGATTATCATCTTAATTCATTGTGATGGCTTCCAAACAAACTTTAACTAAGTTTCTCTGTAATGTGAATGTGTGTCACTGTAAACTCTGTTGAGGATTTTTCCCAGTGGCCAGAAATGTTAACTTCCAGTAAGATTTGATTTCCTTTCTTTTTAGGCCATTTATACAACTGCTTGAATTTACACCATAAAAGGAAGGTCACTAGGCCCTATAACCTACTATATAACAATCTGTAACTTGTCAGTTTCAGTTCCCTGTGCCTTGAGATCCAACACCAGCTGCTCTGAATGTCTGCAGAATGTAACAGTAAGTATGTTCAACTCCAGCCAAACACAGATAGTAAGATAAGATAAGATAAGAAGTACTTTATTGATCCAAATTTGAAACATTTTTGCAAGTAACTTTCTTCAGTGTTGTTAGTAATACTATGACCAACAATATGATCCTAAGCACAGTGTTTGTTGCTGTTTTTGTTGCAGTGTTTGTGGTGTACACCAACCAAACAATGCTTGGACTACCCAGTGAGGAACATCTTGCCCCCCAGGAGTGTGTGTCCACTGAATGATGCACGATGGGGGTTGTGTTGGGGTAAGACTCCCTACGTTTACGTTACACTTAAATGTGAAAAAGGCTCAGTCAACCCAAGGCCTCAGATCACCATTAATGCCAACCTGATGTCGCTGTGTCCTTCAATTATTATCGCAATATCAATATATTGTCCGGGTCATTTTTCAAAATAGAAATGACAAGCATTCTTTTGTCACTACTTTGTTTTTTTACTTGATAGTCAAATCAATGTTAAACAGGCAATTGTAAGACCTCAACTCATGCTTCAGGTATGCTGATGGGCATTTATGACTATTTTATGATATTTTAGAAGTCAAACAATTAATCAATCCAGATAATAATCAATAATACAAATAATTACAGCCCTAGTATATGACATATATCAGACAAATACTACTTTTGTTTTGTTTACCAATAGTTAAAAAAATGTATGCGACTAGTTTAGTACTTTTAAATAATACTGATTGAATGAATGAGTATAGTGCCAATTCTCCAAAGAAGAACCATAACCCACTTTTAAATGACGACAATGTTCTGGTCTACTAAGAGCCCAACTGCTTTTGTCCAACCGGAGCTGAAGTGTCTATTGCGATGCATTGAGTCATATTCAGTGCTTCCTTTTTCACTGTGTATCTTCCTTTTTATTTCCAGTAAACTTCCAGATTTTGATCATCACCATGTCAGTGCTGGGAGGCGTCATCATCATCAGCATTCTGGTTTGCTGCTTCTGCTGCTGCAAGTGTGAAAGAGTTGGGTAAGCATTAAGCCATGTGAAGTGCTGGCTCCGAAATGTGGTTTAACATGGCAGGAGGAGGACGTGGAACACAATGGGTTGATTTTCTGCGAGGCCAGGCTGATACCGCCGTCTCCAAAAGCCTGCCAGAATTTGTAGCTGCAGCTTAGTTTTGAGGAAAAAACATTAATCTTTCTATTTAGAAGTGGTCTAGCCTTTTGTTAATGTAATAATGGCTTTTGGATGATGAGGAGATGGATATACATTTGAAATATAAGACTGATTAACTGTTGCATGCTCCATTACGTGCTGTATTAGGCTGAATGCAAAGCACATCAGACTCACTATTGTCATTTATTTTTGCAATGCATATATATGTATAATCACATATTCTTTTATTTTAGGAACAAGAGAGAAGACGTGAAGGTTGAGCGGCAAACCCGTGCAAGGAAGAGCCGTCAGAAAGCAAAGTAAATGGCTATGAGGACGGGATTTAAAAAAAGATAAAATAGAGACCCTTATTACTGGTACTGTCATTATACTGTAGATATAACAAAACAACTAACATAAGAGTGAGTCTCCTGCACTACATTTTGTTGACTGTCCACATCATTATGTTGATAAAAAACATTAATAAGGACATTTAAAGAAAACTAATAGTATTTCTAATATCAATATTTCTATATCAAATGTGAAATAGGGTTTTTGGTATAAACTACAGCCCTCTACAATAGTACTTTGTTTTGATCCTCATTGAGAATTCAAAATGTCTAGATGTGAAGGCATCCACTGTTCTCTGTTGTCCAACAATTTGTCTTTGTTTCTCTCCCTACAGGAGGACAGAAATGCAGATGAGACATGACGAGATCAGGCAAAAATATGGTGAGACTATTTCCTTGTTTGTGCAGTTTAAGTGGGTAATAAATGTACTTTTTGAATTAAAAAAAAGATATCTTTGTTTACATACTCAATGATGAAACAGTTGCAAAATGAATGTATAATGGGATACAATTAAAGAGACAACATGAGATAAAGATAACAACATTTGAGCCGATAAAACAAGAAAACAGCATTTAAGTCATCACAAATCAAGAGAAAGAAGCAATGTAAAAACAACCAATGTAGTACATTAGCTCCATCTACTGGATACAAATGACTCTGCATAAACAGTGTACATTTATTTTCCACATTTTTATTTAAATTGTTTTTGGGGAAAACAAGCAATTTAGAAATATGTTTGCTTTTAGAAAATTGTATTTGCATCCAACTTTCAAAACTCTTTCAATACAGTGCAATGCCGGAAGCCATAACATGCTTATATGATTTGTTCTCTATTTTTATTTGTAGGTGTTGCAAAGGAAAACCCATACGCCCGTATGGACGATCATTAAGAAGAACCTCAGCGATGATTCCACCACCAACAATCCTTAAGTTGATCTTATTGATGCCAGTAACATTAAGATATGAAACTGTGATGATCTGATTTCATTTCAGTGTTTGTCAAAAAATGTCACCAAGATGTTCTGAATTTATTTTTGATTAAGTGTGCACCATATTTTACAGTTTCCTTCACCTAATATTTCATATTTTATGCACATTGTTTTCTGCTGTTAAACCAGGTTCATATTTATTTTGTCTTTTCATAATATGAGATTCTGTTCAGTTCAAAGCATATTGTCCAACAAGCTATACAAACTCACTGTGTTATTTTGCATAACATGCAGCATTGTTAGTTTTGTACAACTCAAGAGAAGTTCAGAGCAATTGTGGTTCTTAAATAACAGCAGTTTCATTTGAGTTGTAATACGCACTATTTTACTGATCTGTTCTGAAAGTACAACATTTATTTTTATATAAAACGTTTATAACATGTGACTTAATGGATGAAAGAAATGTGTTTTCTTGAACCACATGCGAGTGATTTGATTATTGTGCAGTTTTTGTTTGAAACCAATTGGGACCATTTTTACTTGCTTGTAAAGTGCTTTTAGCACCAGGAAAAGCGCTATATAAATAACATGTTTTATTATTATTACTACGATTTATAACATAAATACATTTGAATTTTCTTTTGTGACTTAAAATAAGTAAATCAATTTCCATAGTTTACAAATGTCATAATTTCCCTGACACACCTTATCCAAAGACTTTTACAGAAACAAGAGGATTCAAATGAAACTGTTCTGTACTGAGAGAAATAATGGAACTATTAAACCCAGTGGAAAGTAATTTCATGTGTGTTTTCATCTATCTCTCACTTCACCAAGGAAACTAATATTCGTAAGTTTTTCTCTATCTATTCATTCATGTTGCAGTTCCTGAGAGCAATGTGTTCTTCTTGGTTTGTTGTGTTTTGTTTCTGAGTCCCAATGCAAATGTTGTTTTAACTATTTGGATCTTCGGTCAAATGCAGAAGGGCCCTTTTGTTTTCCCTATCTCGCGGGAACGCGCAAATTAGCTCACGTATCCGCGCTCACGA